CTTGGAGGGCAGCAGTCTGTCGTACTTACTGGTCACTGTGACTCCTCTTACGCTGACGACGCTGAGACTCACAGGTCTACTCAGGGGTACTGTTTCAGCCTGGGTTCTGGAGCTGTTTCCTGGCGGTCCACGCGCTCCTCTTCGGTCTCGACCTCTACAGCTGAGGCTGAGATCTATGCTGGTGCCATGGCGGCACAGGAGCTGCGTTGGTTGACCTTCTTGCTCACCGACCTTGGTGAGCGGCCGAGCTCTGCACCGACCTTGTTCACTGACAACAAGGCGTCTATTCTCCTTTGTCGAGAGCCACGACTGGAGAGCAGAGTGAAGCACATTCACGTCAGGTACTTTCTTCTGCGAGAGTTGCAGAGGCGTGGACAGGCTCGCTTTGAGTTTGTGGAGTCCGAGGCCAACACTGCAGACATCTTCACCAAGGCGCTTCCGCCTTGTGACCACCAGAGGTGCTGTGTGCAGTTAGGCCTTGTTGACACTGGTTCTCGTGTTGCTTAGACTTGAGTGTACTGTTTACTTTGCTTTCTATATATCTCTGTTACTTCTTGGACTGGCCTTGTGGCCACTGTTGTTTGTGCTCAGACTGTGTGGTGACGTTGTGATCCACCCTGAGCTTTGTTTCTTGGACTGGTCTTGTGACCGTACTCGTTTGGTTCTGCTAGACACCCCTCACTTAGGCTATGGGGGTGTGTCAAATGTTGTAGCCTATAGTGAGGTTTGTCTTAGGGGGTACAAAACTTAGGGTTAGCTATATGTACCCCAACCAACATCAATGAACCATGCATTCTTCATTCTGACAGATTACAGTAGGCTGACTTTTAACTTGGTTTTTAAATTCGTCTAGTTTATCAGACTTGAAAATAATTCAGCTTATAAGGCAGACCACGTCAGTTTCGTCGTCAGTGCCTAAGACGGGGAAAAAAATTTTGAGGGTACTGTCAGACAGGCCCTAAACCTAGCGAGAACCCTGGGCCCCATCGCATACATGATGGATGCACGGATGTGAATGAGAGGGGGGAAGAGGTGTGCGTGTGTCGTGGGAGCAAGGTTTGGAGTGGGGTTTGAAGTTCAGAGGAGAGTTTTTTTTTGTTATAACCGTCAGCCCCCGGATAGAAGCGCCCCTGGGGGTATAAAAAAACACTGTTTTTTAGGGGGTGCGCTTATAATTGAGGAATTTTATAAGAGCCGGCGCTTATAAAATGGCAAAGCAAGTTTATATTTGTTTTACACCAATCTGTACACCTTGTTCTGCCAATTGTAATCGAGTCGAATATATCTGGGGTCGCGAATCTGATTCTCGCGCAACTTACGGTAGCAGGGATGTATTCCCTGCCAACACATGCTGACTAAGCGACAGCAAGTGCTGACTAGACGCGCAGCAAGTGTGATGTGAGTGGGAAAGTGGACCTGTACTTCGATTCCCTGGTAAAGAGAAATTCGTTTCTGCGTTTCGACTGATTTTCAGATTAAAAAATAGACATGCGCTTATAATAAATCAGAATTTTTTAAGGGGTGCGCTTATAATCGAGGACCGGATATAAGCGCCCTCATCCTTTTATAAGCGCCGGCGCTTATCCGAGGCCTGCGCTTCTATCCGGGGGCTTACGGTATGAGCGTACGTGGTCTTGTCATATCCATTAAATGCCTTCTATACTTTGGCATAGGTACCGTACTTGTTCACGTCCTGACGTTAAAGCTGTTTACACCGAAGTGTTATGCGTAACACGTACACCAACCTAGCTGAATGTGATTGTGGGCTTTCGCATTGTATGGTTGGTTGTCGTTTTTTTCACTTGAGCACTACCTGCCAGCTGCAAGTTCGCAACTGATGTCGGAAGAACAAGGTGGTACGTGTACTGTAACAAAGAGGTCATGAAACAGTTGGGATTTTCTCGAATACTCGAGCCAGTAGTTTCCGTTTCTACGTACAGCTCGTACATTACTGTATTTCCAAGCTGAAGTCGTCCACATGCCATGGCAAATTTCAAATTCCACCAGGATTTCCCACATCTTGTTGTGCGATCATGGCGGCAGGGCAAGGCACCTTTCTGCCCTGATTCTGGTGGCTGGGAAACAAAATTTGCCGGTTTGAGGGGCAACTGCGTTGAGAAATAAATGAACTTCGGGTGCGTTCCTGGCGCGTGTCAAGCTTCAGGCCTTCCCGGGAAAGCCCGAAGCTTTGGGTCAAACTTGCTCTCAAACTTCAGGTCTTCTGGAAACAGGGGCAATTTTGGGCCAGAAGACCCGAAGTTGGTCTCGGATGGCCCAAAGTGGGTCCAACTTCCGGTCATCCGCGGATGACCGGAAGCTTGACACTAGCCAGGAACGCACCCTTCCCTTCTTCCCCCTTGCCTTCCGCAGCACCTCCTCCTTCCCCTTCAGACAACCCACCCACAGCACACACACTCCCCAGTAGAGACTGTTCGTCCGTACGCACATTTCTATTGTGCGATTTTGGCAGGCAGGTAGCTAGTCGCCAAAAAAGCACATTCGATTGTTCCGTCAATTGGCGTCTCATCTGGGACTACGCCTTGGGCGATGTAGACTTAACATTAACGCAAAACCTCTCCTGTTTTGCGAAAGCCTCATAGCCGTGTCTAATACCCTAACATAGGCAATGATTACGTCAGCACCTTGGAAGCAGCAGCAGCAGCAACAGCAGGAAGCGCGCAGCGTGATCAATTACCCTGCTTGGCTTCGGAAAAAACCGGAAGAAATAGTGGCATGGAAGCGGAGGGGCAGGACTCAGAAACACCTAGTACTACAGGTGCCGAGCATTGGTCGACAGAGCGTGGCAGTCATGAAGACGGAGCGACAGCCCTCGCGAACGCGCCGCTACTAGAACCCACAGCATTCGTCACAGCAACTCGAGCGGCGGCTATAGGCGTGGTGAGCCTCGTCTCGAGGGCCGCCGCGAGAATCGTATCACTCTAAAATTATCGCTCTTTAAATAGCCATACGCCGCCCATCTTTCACTGGATGGCAGTGGCGTCGATAGCATTCGCAGAGTTTTCCCAAAGCGTCTCATGCAGCTTCGCGTTGGTTTAGGTCGAGCCTCTCGTTAGCTCTTGAATAGACTCGATCCCCCCTCGATCAGGCCAGTCAATCCACGCTGTCAGTGGCTGTCCGCACGCCACGTAGACTCCCTGCTTACGTGGCAACAGAGCGCGTTATCGCTGAGCGTGGCAGCAGCGTCCTTCCTAGGGGCCAATACTTGCGACGGTTGCTCCTTGATTGCTCCATTCGTGTCTGGCCTAGCCTTGCCCGCAATGGTCGCTACTCTCCGCCCCTCCTCCTTTTTCTCCCCTTAATAACCTCTTCTTATTCGCCACGTGCGAGTCACCCCCAGCCGCGACTCTCATTGCGTCAGTTTCGCGCGTCACCCTCGTTCTTTCCGACAGTCTAACTCGCTTTTCTTCTGCGAATTCCGCCTCCTTTTCTCCCGTACATGCTCCAGCGACAAGTGCTAGCACCAGCGCAACCACCTGCCAGCAACAGCAGCAGCAGCAGCGGCGGCGGCGGCGGCGGCGGCGGCTACAGCAGCAGCAGCGGCGGCGGCGGCGGCAGCAGCGCAGTTTCCGCATTATCCGCCTTCCCATCCCCCATGGACGTGTCGCACCTAGCCTCCACCCTCGCCGCCGCCATCCCCGCCGCCTATCCCCCTCACGCGCACGCCTCCCCCGCCTCCCCCGCCTTCTCTCCGCCACTCCTCTCCCGCGCTCGCCTGAAGTCAGTCCGCGGGGCAGCCGGCTCAAAGTGACGGCGGATCTCATTATAGCGCGTACAATTGACTCTGTCCTGGACCTCTCCTTCCCTTACGGCTCTGCTGCTTCTGCCTCGAGAGTAGGTCGCAGGGAAGTGGGGCAGGGCAGGGCTGTGTGCGTAACATGGTAACCGCTCGTGAGTTATTATCTGTCGTGTTGTTTGCTTCGTGGTTGGGGTGCTTGGTTTCGCAATCAGCGCCACCCATGCTGCTGATTCCCTTCTCCCTTCTCTTCCTTTACCCTATCTTCCTCCTGGCGTGCCTGCTTGTCTCTCTCCCACCACTCCCCTCACTCCCCACGTGGTACAATCAAATGTGAAGTTCCTCAGTGCTGTCTTTTCCCGTTCGCCTTCTCTCCGTCCGTTCCCCCTACCCGTCCCCCTGCATGCATTCCCCGCTGCCTGGCCGTCCGCGGATCATGCATTGCAGTCGCCACAGCACCGCCACAGCACAAGCCAGCAGCAGCAAGGGCAGGACCTGCAGGAGCAGCAGCACCTGCACTCCCAGTCCCTCCCTCCGCTCATTCTCCCAGGTCCCACCTACACCACCCCCAGTGGCGGTAGTGCTGGCAGCACCACCAGTAGCAGCACCTTCAGTAGCGTTAGCAGCAGCAGAAGCAGTGGCGTTGGCAGCAGCCTAAACGGCATTGCAGAGAGCAGCTTTGGCTTTGGCAGCCCCACGTTCAAGCCCACCGCACCACGTGCCTTCCCGGAATCACTACCACAATTAACCGCGGAAGGAGCACCCGCAGACGCTGACAGCAGCAGCCCCCCAGCAGGGGAGGCAGATACGCCCAAAATAGGCCGGCCGGGGTCGGTGTGGGGGGGCGGCAAGGGGAGGAAGGGCGCGGTGTTCCCAGCGCTGCTGGTGGACGTGCCGGACAGTGACAGCAGCAAGTCGCCCACAGGTACGCCCACTGGGTCTGGGTACGCCATCATACCCTTGTGCTGCGTTGCGTTGCGCCTCTTGCCTTCCCTATTGGTTCCTGCCTGGGTGGGGTGGGGCCTGTCTGAGGTTTGGGTTCTGGGTGTGGGGTTTGGTGTATGGGGTTGGGAGGTGCAGCTTTTCTCTCATAAGTGGTTCTAGTAAGGCTGTTGGATGCCATGCACCCACCCTCTCACTGCTGCGGCTCATGGTGTATGCAGCTGCTGTTTGCTCAACTGGGCTGGGATTCGCTTGTGAATGCTGCTGTGTGTGTGCATGATACGACACATCACAACACAACCACCTACTCCTCCTGTCTACCTACCCTCTTTATCTCCCTCGTATACTCCCTCTGTAACTCGCTCCCCAATCTCTCCAACTCCCCGTGCGTGCGCCCACGTCCCTCCTCAGGGCGTTCATTCGCAGCAGCAGAGTCAGATGCAGCAGTGCAATCCATTTCATCCACACCACCCGCGCCCCCTGCATCGCCACCCTCCTCCACCTCCTCCTCTAACCCCAGCCCTCTTGGCTTCACCTTCACACCCGCGTCACCACCAACAACAGCGGCAGCTGCAGCAGCAGCAGCAGCAGCAACAGCAGCAGCAGAATCAGAAGCAGGTGCCCCATCCTCCCCCACGCTCCCCACCACCCCTCCCCCGGCACTCTCTCCTTCCCTCACCAAACCCCACGCCCCACTCTCCCCAACCCTCCCATCCCTTCTCACCCACTCCCCGCACTCCTCCTCCCCCGCGCCCACCTCCTTAGCAGCAACCTTCGCAGCCACCAGAGAGGCCACGCCTTCCGCCATCTGCCGCTCCCCCATCACCTCCCCCCTCAACTCCCCCGGCCCCGCCCATTCCCCCGCCCTCACGCCCTCGCGCCGCCACCTACCACCCTTCCCCGAGCCCCCCATGGCGCCCTCTCTCTTCTCTGCAATGGATAAGCTCCTCTCTGTCTCCACAGGAGCAGCAGACCTCCAACCCTCGCCACTCCCCTCCCCACTTGCCTCGCCCGCCCTCTCCCCTCTCGCTGCGTCTGCCTGGTCCCCTGCCCTTTCCCCCGGCCCGTCTCCTATCCCCTCCCCCGGCCCTTCCCCAGGCCCCTCCCCGGTGCCCTCGCCCCTCTCTGCTAGCACTAGGAACGGCGCTCTACCGTCCCTGTTTGCCCGCGGCTCCTTCCCTAGTGGCGGGGGTGGTGGTGGCACGGGCAATGATGCAGGCGTGAGGAGCAACGGTGTGGACGGGGGCAGCGCAGGGGGATGCCTTGGGTGGGGACAGGAGGATCAGCCAGTAGTCCTGGCAAGGCGCGCACGCTGCTAGGCCTCGTGGACCCTAGGGAGGAGCCTGCACCTGCACCTGCACCTGCACCTGCGCCTGCGCCTGCGCCTGCGCCTGCGCCTGCGCCTGCGCCTGCGCCTGCACCTGCACCTGCACCTGCACCTGCACCTGCACCTGCACCTGCGCCTGCGCCTGCGCCTGCACCTGCACCTGCGCCTGCGCCTGCGCCTGCGCCTGCGCCTGCGCCTGCGCCTGCACCTGCACCTGCACCTGCACCTGCACCTGCACCTGCACCTGCGCCTGCGCCTGCGCCTGCACCTGCACCTGCGCCTGCGCCTGCGCCTGCGCCTGCTTCTGCGGGGCACGTGTGTCCCTTGAGCACCTCTCGCCGCCCCTCGATGCCTTTAGGAGGACCCGCCCCTCTGCTCGTGCTTCTCACGGTTCCTCTTCTTTTCCTTCTTCCTCCTCCTCCTCCTCCTCCTCCTCCTCCTCCTCCTCCTCCTCCTCCTCCTCCTCCTCCTCCTCCTCCTCCTCCTCCTCCTCCTCCACCACCACCACCACCCCCCTCACATCCTCATCTCCCTCACTACTATTATCATCCTCTCCCCTCTCCCCTCCTCTCCTTCCCGACCGCACCTCATCCCAATCCGCCGCCATCTCACTCGCCTCTGCCCTACCTGCGCGTCTGTCAGCCTCCTATCGCTCCAAGTCGCTAGACCAAGGGCCGGTGACAGCAGGTCCAGCGGGGGTGCTGTATCAGAAGAGCCACTCGCTTGACGTGAACCACCTCTCAAGGGGTCTTTTTGATCGATCCGACAGCTTACCTGCTGCGGCCACAGATGATGCTGCTACGGTTGATGCTGCTACAGCTGGTGCTACTACAGGTGATGCTGCTACAGCTGACACTGCTACAGGTGATGCTGCTACAGCTGACACTGCTACAGGTGATTCTGCCACATGCATAGCAACTGCTGCGCCTGGCCCTCTTCCTGTCGCCTCTCCAGCAGCAGCTCCAGTGGCGGCTGTACCAGCAGCAGCAGCAGCAGCAGCAGCAGCAGCAGCAGCTAGTGCCTTCCCTGACGTGAACCCCACAGCGACAGCCGTCACACCAGGTGTTCCAACAGCAGAGGTGACAGGGTCAGGTGGGGGTGGGCTTAGAGCAGAGGAGGGTGATGTGGCTCGGACTATGCCAAGTGTGGTGACTTTTGAAGAGGAGGGTGGGGAAAAGGAAGGGGAAGGTGCAGGGCAATGGGATGGGGAGAGGTCAGATGACAGGGCTGGAGGCGAGGAGGAGGAGGAGGGGCAAGTGGGGAGTGGAGGTGAGGAGAGAGGGGTTCGTGTACCGTTGAGACTGCATGCGGCTGCTGCTCCTGAGAACGCTTCTGCAGCAGCTGCTGCTGCTCCAGCTTCTGCCACCCTTGCTTCGATCAGCGTTATGCCTGGCGGGTTGCATGCTGCCACAGCTACAGCTACAACTGCTGCTGCTGCCGCTGCGGATTCTGCTGCTGTTGCTGCTCCTCGTGAGGCTTGTGGCAACGGTTTCATGCGCCGGGATGAGGAGAGCGGCGCAGTCAGTGCGGAGCAGGCCTCGCATGCTGCTGGGCATGGCAAGGGCGGCCCTGAGGGTGGCGTGCACAGGGAGCAGGTTGCGGTGCACAGCCACCTGCAGCAGGCTGGGGACCACCCAACGCAGCAGCAGCAACAGCAACAGCAGGAGCTGCAGCAGCCGCAGCTGCAGCCACAGCAACTGCAACAACCGCAACAACCGCAACAGCAGCAGCAACCACAGCAGCCGGCACAGCAGCAGCAGCAGGCAGCGCCGCTGGTGATAAACGTGGCGCCGCTGGACGCACTGTCTGCAGCGGGGCGAGTGACGTTCGACGGGCCACTCGTGGGCGGCCTAGACGAGCCCCTGCACCTGCCCAGCTTCACCAGCGGCGCCCTGCCCTGGCACCGCAAGAAGAGCCCGCCCCCCTTTGCTGCCGGCGCACGCGTGCTAGAGGCGCTGCGACGCGCAGAGAGTGCAAGCCGTGCTGCTGCTGCTGTCGCTGAGGCTGGGACTGGGTCTGAGGCTGTTGCAGGGACTGCTGGTGGGGTTGCTGCTGGTGCTTGTGTTGCGGCTGCTGAGGCTGAGGCTGCTAGGGCGGGTGGTGAGAGCGTGGCAGGTGATGGGATTGATGCTGAGCACGGGGTTTCCCTATCCTCGTCTGCCCTGCCTTGGGGTCATTCCGCACGCGCGTCAGCAGCAGGGGGAGAGGGAGGGGCGGGTGGGTGGATGGTGGAACGGTTGGTGGTGGAGAGGGAAGAGCAGGGGGAGATGGAGCATGCAAGCAGAGATGTGAAGGGTGGCTTCGTGGGCCAAGTGAATACAGCTCCTGCTGCTGCTACTGCTGCTGTTGCTGGTGGTGGTGGTGGTGATGCTGCTGCTGATGCTGGTAGTAAAGTCAGGGTTGAGAGCGCTGGTGCTGCTGCGGATATCGGTGCTCTTCATGGCTCCTTTGACTCGTTTGACTCGTTTGACTCTCTCGTTGGCGCCTCTGCAGGGGTCCTCCTCCCACCCGTGCCTGTGCTACCGCCACTCTCACCCAATGCTGCATCTGGCCTCTCCTCCCTCACACCTCCCGCTGCTGCCGTCGCTACCACCGCTGCCACTGCTGCCACCGCTGCTGCCGTTGTGGCATCTGCTGCGTTGGCACCTCCCCTCCCTGCTGATACTGCTCCTCCTGCTCCTGCAGCAGCCCCAGCAGCAGCAGCTGCGGTGGCAGGGGATAAAGCAGTTGCGCAAGGCACTGGCCCTCTTACGCACCACGCGCCACACACACACACGCCACCCCATCACCCTCCCCTGGGCCTGCAACCCCTCTCCATCCCCGGCAGCACCAAGCCTCACCCAGCAGCACCCGCCCCACTCCACACCGCCCCCTCCCCATCCCCCTCCTCCCTCACCCCCTCCCCCCTCGCGTCCTCCCCGCTCATCACCCCGTTCCCCACCAGCGCCCCCCACAGGGCCTTCCCCCGCTCAGCCACGTGCTCCTCCCTGCCTGTGCGCTCGCCGCTCTCCTCCTCGCCCATGGCCTCTCCAGGGTCTCTAGAGGCGCTCTTCCAGTCGTCCAAGCACCAGGGGGTTGTCTTGGACAATCCCCAAACGTCCCCCAGAGTGGGGTTTGATTACCATTCCGGTCCCCCCTCCGCCTCCTCCCGCCTTGCACTCCCTCTTCCCCCCTCTTCCTCCTCCTCCTCCACCCCCTCCTCCACTCCCAACGCTGCATCAGCAGCATCCGCCCAGGCAGCATCACAAGCAGCAGCAGCAGCAGCAACCGGATCATCATCCTCCTCATCATCCGCTGTGCCGTCCCTCTCCCCGCTCCTCCTCGCTGCCTCCTCTGCTTCTCCCTCCACAGCGCCCGCACTGCTGTCCCGCGCTGCACTCGCCCGCCACCACACCATGCCGGCAGCGCAAATGGCCCATCTCCCCATGCCCGCCCTTGCCCCCATGCACTCCTTCCTAGGCTCGTCTGGTAACCCTGTAACCCTGGAGGAGCTGTTTCAGCAAACGCGACTGTCAGGGGTGGTCCCGGTGGTATCACCCCTGCCGTCGCCACTCGTCTCCCCAGCACTCAGCTCGCCTGCCTCTGCTGCCGCATCCCCTTTAGCCGCTTCCCCCGCTGCTGCTTCTTCTGCTGCTGGTGGCGCTGCTGGTGGCAGCACCTCTGGGTTCATCTCTCCTGTGCTTTTCTCGCCCGTGCTGCTATCCCCAGCCCTGTCCCCTGGAGTGTTGGCCCCAGTACCTCCGTCCACTCCTGCCAAGCCCTCTGTCACTCTTCTTGGCCTTGTTCCTTCCTCCTCTTCCGCCTCCTCCCCTTCTCTTTCCAAACATCAGCCTTCCCCTCCTCCATCCGCTTCCTTGCCATCCCTGTTCTCCTCCTCCTCCTCCTCCTCCTCCTCCTCCTCCTCCTCCTCCTCCTCCTCCTCCTCCTCCTCCTCCTCCTCCTCCTCCTCCTCCTCCTCCTCCTCCTCCTCTTCCTCCTCCTCCTCCCCCCTCCCCTCCACCACTACCACCACTACCACCACTACCACCACCGCACCCCTTCCCACAAACCCCTCACTCTCACCAACCCCACCAATCCACCACCTAACCCCAACCCCTCCTCCTCCCCGTTCCCCGTCCGCACACGACCCGCCGCGCTCCCCACGTCACAGCATCATACACACCAACCCACACTCACCCAGGCATGGCTGGCACTCACCCATCCCCTCACCCATCCCCTCAACCATCCCCTCACCCATCCCCTCACCCATCCCCTCACCCATCCCCTCAACCATCCCCTCAACCGCAACCATCCATGCCCAGGACCCCTTCTCTCTCCACCACCACGCGCCTTCCAGCACCACCCCCGCTGGCCCCATACACGCGGTGCAGAGTCCCTCGCGCCCGCGCTCCCCCGTGCCGCTCTCTCCCCGTGTGCTGCGCCAGGTGGCTGCTTCCAACAGCTTCAACAGCACCAGCCCCCGCGCTGTCTCTGCTGCTGCTGCTGCTGCTGCTGCCGCCGCGGTTTCTGCGGTGCCTGCTGTTGCTGCGTCAGGTGGGGTTTCAGGTGGGAGTTCAGGTGGTGGAGGGTTGGAAGGGGCAGGTCCACTCTCCCAGCTAGACGTGCTCGTTGCTCTCTCTGCTGGCGCTCTCCCTGTCATGCCCTCCCACACCTCTCCCACCACTTCCATTTCTCCCGCCACCACTCCCGACCGCTTCTCACCCACATGGCCCGCAACAGCTGCACACAGCCCTTCCTCTCCTGCCGTCGCTGCAGCAGTCAACCACACCGAGTCACCTGCAGCAGGTCCCCGCACCCCCGTGAGCGTATTCAACACAGCAGGACCAGGCGCAGCGACTGCCAGCACATGCAGTCCCAGGCATGGGCGCCCCATGCGCACACTGCTAGGCCTGGTGGAGGTGCGCGAGGAGGAGCCGCCTAAGTCCCCCCGCAGCGCCAACCCCTCCCCTCGCAGCCGCCACATGCGGCGCCACAGCATGCCCAGTGCGAAGAGTAACCTCGGTGCTGCTGGTAGCTATGGTGGGGATGGGGGAGCGGGAGGGGGTGGAGGGGGGACGGGTTCAGTGTCTGCTGCTGCTGCTGGGGTTTCGCCTCAGGGTGATGGTGGCGGTGCTGCTGCTGCTCCTGCTTCTGCTGCCCCTAGTGCTGTTTCCTCACTCGCCTTATCAGTAGATCATCAACAGCAGCAGCAGCGGCAGCAGCAGCAGCAGCAGCAGGCGGTGCAGCAGCGGCAGCGGCAGCAGCAGCAGGACCAAGGGTACGCAGCAGTGGGGCTGACCCATCTGGGTCCGTTGCAGGGGGGTGGGGAGGAGGAGCAACAGTTCCATCTACAGCTTCCCAACTTCAAGACTGCTCGCCCTCCCTTCCTACGCGACTCTGCCTCCCCTGCTGCTGCTCACACCCCTGCCTCTCCTGCTGCTGTTGCTCAGAATGAGCAAGTGTTGCTGTCAGCAGGGCTAGGGGCAGAGAGGGAAGGGGCGGGAAGTGGTGTCGGGGATATGGAAAGACGGGAAGTGGGGGATACAGGGGGGCGATATGGGCCCAAGGGAGTGTTGCAGCTGGCAGAAGCAGGAGGTACAGCGGCTGTAGCGGCTGTAGCGTCTGCTGGGGCGACTACAGGTGTGTCAGCCGACAGTGGGAAAGCTGCTGCTGCTGCTGTCGCTGCTGCTGCACCTGTAGTTTCAGGTGGAGAATCAGAAGCAGCCGGAGCAGCAGCAGCAGGAGCGGAGGCCGGTGCAACAGCAGGAGGCAGAGGAGCAGGAGACGCAGCAGCAGGTGCTTTGCGCAGCACACATGTTTCACAGGAGAGCGCACGTGGGGCAGACGCGGTGGGGTCAACAGGATTGACAGGGTCAACAGGATTGACAGGGTCAACAGGATTGACAGGCTCGGTGGAGGCGCGGAGGATACTGGCTCTGCTGCAGCGGCTGCGAGAGCCGCTGGTGGCAGCACGGGGCAGGCTGCAGGCCGGCAGTGCGGAGGCTGAGGCTGTTGCGGAGGCTGCGCGCGCTGTTGAGGGGGACCTGCTCCGCCTGCTGGGGGAAGGGGGGGAGGGGGAGGGGGGAGAGGTGGAGGGTGGAGTGGGGGAGGGGAGAGATGGGGACGGGGGAGGGCAAGAGAGAGGAGAGCAGGGGAGAGGGGAGTTGGAGGTGCGTGATGGGGATGAAGGGAGGGTTGTGGTGGAGGGAGAGGGGGAGGAGGTGGGGATGAGAGTGGATGGATCGGGGGAGGGAAGGAGGGATGAGGGGAAGGTGGATGGAGGTGAGGGGAGAACAGGAGAGGGGGTGGTAGCAGAGGGGGTTTGTGAAGAAGATGTAGCCCTAAGAACCTCTTCAAATGACGCTGCTGCACATGCTGCTGCGCCTGCTCGTGTGCTACCATCATCAGCAGCAGAAGCAGAAGCAGAAGCAGCAGCAGGAGCAGCAGCAGCAGCAGTGGAAGCAGAGAGGCAGGTCGTGGGAAATACTGACAGCGGCAAGGTGGATGTGGCGTTGGAGGGAGAAACAAGAGGAAGCGGCACACAGGAGGGGGTGATTGCAGAGAGGAGAAGAGAGCAATCGGTGGAGAAGGAGGGCTTGCGATTGGACTTGGTGGGAGAGGAAGAGGAGGAAGGCCGCGGGGGTGGTGAGGCGAGGAGCCGGGAGAAGGACCGTGAGGGGCAGCGGCTGTTGGATGGAGGGGAGAGAGCAGCAACGAGTGAGGAAGGTGATGGAGGGGTGGGAGTAGTGTCGGAAGCAGGGCTGAGAGAGCAGCAGTCAGCACCAGCTGTGAAGTCCCCATGGCCTGCAGTGGAGGCGGTAGGGTCTCACGCTGTGCTGGCAGGTGGTGAAGTGAGGGAGGTGGAGCTGTCGTTTAAGGAGAGCCTGAGCCGGGAAGATAAAGGCATGCATGATGCTGGTGGTGGTGGTGAGGAGAAGGAGCAGGATCGGTATGATGAAAGGAGCAACTACCGCCACTCCCATCACCAGCGACAGCAGCAGGAGCAGCAGGAGCAGGAGGAGCAGCAGGAGCAGCAGGAGGAGCAGCAGCAGCGGCGGCGGGAGAAGGCACGCAAGCAGCAGTCAATGGAGGGCGTTTCTGCGGTGGAGCTGCAAGCAGCGCTGCAGCAGGTGGTGAACCTGGGCGCTGCCATGGACGGCGCAACACGTGGGGGAGGAGGAGGAGGAGGAGAAAGAGGAGGAGGAGGAGAAAGAGGAGGAGGAGGAGGAGGAGGAGGAGGAGGAGGAGGAGGAGGAGGAGGAGGAGGGAGGAGGAGGAGGAGGAGGAGGAGGAGGAGGAGGAGGAGGAGGAGGAGGAGGAGGAAGAGCAGGAGTGAAAGGCAAGGAGGAAGAGAGCACTGGGACGAGGGGCAGGGATGGGGAGGACAGGAAACGGAGTGGGAGTGTAAAGCTGGAGCATATCGATGGGTATGAGCATGCATCGGACAGCGCTAGCAGCAGCTGCACCCATCGGGGTACACAACCCAGAGGTGATGCGTCTGCCAATGCTGCCACTGCTGCTGCTGCTGCTGTTGGTGGTTCTGGCGCTGCTGCTTTTGCTGCTGCGGGTAGAATCGCTCCTGGATCGACTGGTGCTACTAGCGGCAGCACCAGGGGTAGCTTGCAGGGTGACCAGTGGCCGCTGGCAAACGCCAAGCACACTCGCTTCAAGGGAGAAGGCAGTGTGGGCAGCAGTGGCGTGGGCAGCCGAACAGGCAGTGCCATGGGCAGTGCGGTAGGAAGCGGGACAGGCAGTGCAGCAGGCAGTGGCATGGGGAGTGCGGCAGACTCAGGGGTTGACTCTGGTGTGGACACAGCAAGGCAGCAGCACCGGCTGAGGCTGCAGAGGAGGGAGAAGGAGCGTGCGGGTGGCATTGCGGGCGGCAGCAGTGGCAGCGCTGGTGGTGGAGCGGTGGCGAGGGGTGGAGTGGTGTCGATGACGGTGGAGGGCGGTAAGGTGGTGGTGTCTGGCACGCTTAAATACACACGAGAGGTGCGCTTCTCAGGGGTGTGGTCACAGCACGGCCTTGATATCACCTCTGCTGCTGCTCTTGCTCATTCTGACCATACTCTTGCTGCTGCTGCTGCTGCTGCTGCTGCTAGTGCTGAGGACCATGATCATGCTGACCATGATGCTATTGTGGTGCATCGTAATGGCACTGCTGCTGCTGCTGCCTCTCATGCTCTCGGTAAGGGGCAGCAGGTGCGGCAACCCAGGAGTGCGGGCAGGGCGGAGAAGAGCAAAGGCAGAAAGCACCGGCTGTCACGGCTGGGCAATGTGGTGGAAGGTGGCGGTGGGAGTGAGGAGACGAGTGGCGTGACGAGTGGGTTGAATAGTGGGATGGGGAGTGAGGGAGTGAGTGAGGGAGGGACTGAGGCTGGGGGAGAGGTGGTTATGGTGCAGAGAGGGAGGCGGGGGAAGAGTCGGAGCAGGAGCAGGGAGAGTGGAGGCGCTTGTGGGTCATTGGGTGGCAGTGGGAATGTTAGTGGGAGTGGGAGTGCGAGTGGCAGTGGGTGGAGCAGCAGAGGAGTGGAGGCGGGAGTGAGGAGACGGAAGGGGAAGAGCAGGATGGGGTTAGCGGCAGAGAGCGGTTCAGTGGGGTCAGCAGCGAGTGCAGCAGGAGTGGGGGAAGGAGAGGGCGCAACTGGGGAAGGGGGTGGGAGAGGAAGGGGAAGGGGGAGGGCGAGAGGGAAGGGGAGAGGAAGCGATGGAGAGGCATTAGATGCAGCAGCAGCAGTGGCGGCAGCAGAAGCAGAAGCCAAGGCAGTGGGAGGGGCCGGCAGGGTGGCTATGGGCGTGGGGGCAGTGCAGCAGGCGCACAGGAGTGAAGAGGCCGCGCGGAGCGAGGGAAAAGGGGAGGGGGATGGGGAGGGACAGGACGAGGAGATGCATGGAGATGGTGTTGCGTGCGGTGATGGCAGCAGCAGCAGTGAGGATGTGTTCTACGAGGCGAGGGAGATGGTCAGCTCGCCAGGGTCGGTGGCAGGGTCGGTGGGAGGTTCGGCATCAGTGTCAGTGTCAGCATCGGACGATGAGGGCATGTGGAGCTGCACCTCCTCTTCCCGCATGCTCAACGCCCCTGCTACTCTTCCTTCCCCTGCCTACGCTGCTGCTGCTGCCTCTTCTCCTGCGCCTGCTACCAGTGCTGCTAGTGCTGCCACTGCCATTGCCACTGCCATGGGCACTCCCAGTGCACAGCCTACGGCTGTTGCTGCACGTGTGCCCTCACCGTCCTCTGTGCCGGCACTAGTGCCTTCACCCTGCGCTGACACAGCCACCAGCTCAGGTACAGCATCACAGCAGCTCCTCACCCCAGGCAGCAGGGAAGACTCAGCAACCGAAGCACGCCCACTGGACTCCGCTGCTCCTGCTACCAGCAATGCCGCTGCTGCTCCCGGCACCACTGCAGCTTCTTCTGCTGCGGCTGTTGCTGCTGCGTCTTCTGCCCCTTCCCAATCAGCTGCATCTGCTGCGGTTTCTCCCCGTTCTGCCTCTGCTTCGGTTCCTGATTCTGCTGTGTCTTTGCCTGCCTCTGCCACCTCTGCTTTCCCTGCTGCCTCTGCTGCTGCTACCACTGCTGACGCACCTTCCAATGCTATCTCAAAAGCGCCCACCGATACCACCCCTGCCACCGCTACTTCCTCTTCTCCTCCCACCGCCACCACCACAACCCCATCCCCCCCACCTCCAGAAACACTCTACACCCGCTCCCCATCCCCTCCTCTCCCCTTCTCCCCATCCCCCTCCAACCGACCTCCCTCCTCCTCCGCCTCGGCCTTCACGCACCCGCCCTTCCGCCCGCTCCCCCCAGACGCGCAGCTGCTGCTGCAGCGCTCCATGATTCCACACCCGCGCCGCAGCCCCCTGGGAATCCGTCGCACAGTCTCCGATCTCACGGCTGAGGTCAGTGCTCTCAGAGCCGCCTCTGCCTCTGCTGCTGCCTCTGCCGCTGCTGCTGCCGCCGCTGCTGCTGCTGCTGCTGCTGCTGCTGGTGCGGCTGGTTCAGGCGCTGCTGCTGGTGGCGCTGCCGCTGGCGCTGGCGCCGCCTTTGGAGGGGGTGCGGGTACGGGGTTTGGTGGGTTTGGTGCGGGCAGTGGCAGCAGCAGCAGCGGCGGGGGAGCAGCGGTGAATGCGCGGCGGCGAGCAGCAGCGATCTCAGCGCTGAGAGCAGCGGCTCTGGAAGGGCAGCTGCAGCAGTCGATGTCGAACCTCCCAGGGGCGTTCTCCAAGCGAGCAATGGCAGGGCTGGGAGGTCTGGGCGGAGCGGCCGGGGAGGGTGGAGGGAGTTGGGGAGGAGGGGGTGGTGGAATGGGGCTGTCTCCTGTACACGTGAACATGGGTATGGGTATGGGAATGACTATGGGCACGGGCATGGGCATGGGCATGGGAGTAAACAGAGCTGCTAGTCCCGGTGCTGTCTCCATACCCTCTCCAGGCCTATCGGGTCCGTCCTGGCAGCTGCTCTCCTTCCCTGAGGACATGGCGACAGGCTCCCGCCCCTCCTCCTCCTCTCACACCCTCACCCCGCAGTCCGCCTCTCGCACTCCATCTGCTCTGGCCCCTGGTGTGGCGGATTTCCTGTGGGGATCGGGCAGTTTCCGCGGTGTGCTAGACGGGCCGCCAGGGCTGTTTCACTGGGGCTCTGGTAGCAGTACCAGCAGAGGGGTGTGGATGCCGGGGGGAGAGGGCGGATCGGGTGGGGAGGAGGAGGGGGGATGGGAGTGGCGGAGCGGAACGAGGTGGGGGAAGCAGCGGGGGGAGGGCAGGGCTGGGGAGTGGAGGCGGGGGGAGTAGAGGCGGCACGGGGGGGAGCACGGGGAGCATAGGTCGGTTGGGGAGCGGGGGGGGCCGCAGCAGCGGGAGCGGCAGCGGGGGATCGACAGGGTCGGGGTACCGATTCGCAGTGCCGATACAACGAGCCGTGGCGGAGACAGATGACTACGAGGAGGGGCAGGTGTGCCCTCTGTCGCGCTCCAATAGTGCGAATCTTGAGTCGCTGCTGCATGGGCTGGGCCACTCGGGGCAGTCGGGGCAGTCTGTGCCGTCGCCGTGGGATAGTGGCGACATGGATGGCGTGGTGGATGGGCCTGGAGAGGGTGCTGCTGCTGAGGATGCTGGAGATGAAGGGGCGGGTGAGAGTGAAGGAATCGGGGAGGAGAGGAGGGAGGGGGAGATTGAGGGGCCGTGTGGAGAAGGCGTGGCAGAGGATGGGAGAGGAGTGGCAGGGAAGGTGGGTGGCGAGGGTGGGAGTGACGCGGAGGATGAAGGGGCGGAGGGCGAGCAGGGAGGTGCAAGGAGACAGGACGTGCAGATGGGTGGGGTTGAAAAACAAGGTGCTGTTGCTGTTGCTGGTGGAAACGAAGATGCGCAGGAGGGTGTAGCGAGGGAGACTGGGCCCGTGAGCTCCGTTTCAGCCAATGCTGCTGCTGTCGCTTCTGCCTCTCCTGCCCCAGCCAGTGCTCCGGGTGCTGGTGCGGCTGCTGCTGGCAAAGCTAACAGTAATCTGGATAACTTGGGAGGTGAGGGAGGAGGTGAAGTAGGAGTAGGAGGAGTTGGAGGAGGGGGTGATACACCAGAAGAGGAACGTGCAGCAGCAAGCACAGGTCCGCGACCCGATGTCGGGAGCCCAAACCATCCATCTGCCGATCCTGGGGAAGGAGCAAGGTCAGGCGCAGGAGTCAGCATCCCATCAACCGCATCACCCACACCCACCCAGCCCTCCCCTGTTCCATCCCGCCAGGCCATCCCCCAGCCTGCACCTCCTCCACCTATGGCGCGCCCAGAGAGCCCGCCATCGCACCAGCGCCCGCTGTCTCCTCTCAGGCACCACCAGCACCGCCTGCAGCCGTCGCTGCTGGGCCGCCGCCCTGCCTCCCCCCATACCGCGCCCGCTGCAGTGGGCATCGCCTCCCCTGCTGCCCCGCAGCCTCAGCTGCCCACCGCTCTGGCTGCTGCTTCTTCTTCTCCTTCCCCTGCGTCCTCTGCGGCTCCTTTGGACGATTCTCCCGTGGTGGTGCCTCAACGCGGGGGGTTGGATCGTGGTGGGTTTGCTACCACTGCCTCTGCCTCCTCGCCCTCCTCGCCGCACCTCGCCTCTCCTGCTTCGCCTGCTTCTCCTGCCTCCCCAGCCTCTCCAGCTGCTGCTGCCAGCAGCAGCACCCGTGGGCCTTCAGCTGCTTTTGCTCCAAGGGCAGTGGTGAACCCTTCAGCTTCACCCATTCACTCCTGGATTGCTGCTACCACGTCCGCTGCTGCTGCTGCTGCTGCTGCTGCTGCTGCTGCTGCTAAAGCCAGCAAATCCGCTACCCGCCCCATCACCACCACCAGCAGCACCGCCACCGCCACTGCCACCGGCACTGGTTCCCTCTTGACGCCTCCTGTCGCTGCATCAGTCGCCCCTGGTGATGCCACAGACACAGAATACCCCACTCCTGATGTCCCTGCAGGCGTAGCAGAAGGCATGACTGAACCCACGCCATCCTCACCACCCACTGCATCACTCTCAACCACATCTGCGTCAGCAGCAGCGGCGACAGCGGCGGCAGCAGACATGGGCCTGAGTCTGGGGGGAGACATTGTCAAGGACGCCCGCGTTGCTGCACGCATTCTGGAGCAGCAGCAGCAGCAGCAGCAGCAGCAGCAAGGGGGGTGGTACCGGTTCGCGCATGGTCTAACAGCAGCAGGGCCAGCAACAACAGCGATGCCGATGGGGCTGCTCCCACTGCTGCTGCCAGTGCTGCGACTGTTCCTGTTACTACTGCTGCTGCTGCAGCTGCTGCCTCTGGGACCAATGGTGCGTCTGCAGGGCTGGCGAGCAACCCTCCTCTGCTGGTGCTTCGTGCTGCCAGTGCTTCTGGGTCGGAGCCTGCACCCCTTCAACCACCCTTGGTGCTTGTGAGTCGCGAGCGAGGGCTGCCTTCCGCGATTGCCGGACCATCACTACCTGCCAATTCATCACTAACACCTGCATCATCAGCATCTGCAGCAGCAACAGCAGGAACAGCAAAAACAGCAGGAACAGCTGCATCTGCTGCTGCTGCTGCTGCTGCTACAGCTGCTGCTATTGCCAGCAACGGAGGTGCAAGCAGCAACAGTGCATTGGCTGCAGGAGTGAGTGTGAGTGCAGCAGAAGATTCATTGGTGGAGGGTCTGAGAGAGCCGCAGATGATGCCGCTGGTGCAGGCAGGGCGAGGTGTAACAGAAGACAGTCTTGCTGCCCTTAGTCTCTATAGCAGCACTGCCTCTACCACCCCTCCTCCCGCTCCTGCTCCTGCACCTGCTGTGACTGCTGCAGCTGCTGCGATTGCTGCGGCTCCTGCCGCTGCTGGTACCAGTAGTGGTGGTAGCAGTGGTGGTGCTGTGGGATCTGGTGGTCCAGCAGCGGGCAGCAGCATGAGTGGAAACAGCAGCCCAGGCTATTCAGCAGCCACCAGCCCTGCTTTACCTGCTGCTGTAGCTGCTGCTGCTGGTCCTGGTCCTGGTTCAATGGGCAGTCCTGCAAGCGACTTGGGTCAGCATCATTACTACCACCACCACTACCACCATCACCACCACCACCACCTGCGTGTCTTCCCCTCCTTTCGGAAACGGAAGCAACGGTACGTAGAAGCCGAGAGCATGGCTACTGCTGTAGCTTATAACACAGCAACCAGTATGGGGTACGCGCCTGCTGTGGGTAGCAACGTGGGTGTGGGCGGCAGTGCAAGCACAGGTGCAGGTGCAAGGACAGGGAATGCGCACACAGGCATGATGAGAACGCCCTCTGCTTCCTCTGCCACTCCCAGCAACGACAGTTCCGGGAGCAGTGTGAGGGGGTCTGGGGGCATGGCAGGCATAGTGGCGCGCACAAGAATCGGCGGCAGCAGCAGGAGAAATGCTGCTGCTGCTGCTGCTGCTGGTGCTGCTGGTGCTGGCGGTGCCGGGAGTGTGACAGGGACTGGAGGGGCTGTATCGCCTTTCGGGTCCTCCCCAGCAACGGAAGGTGCCAGCGATGCAGGCACCATGGCAGACCACGAGGATGCGGTGAGTTGCTTCTGTGCACGTTTGCTGTACATACTGCCGCCTGTATGCTTTCTTCCATGCTGACAGGCTGTCCTCCCTCTTTGCGCTTGTCCAGCAATACTGGTCCACGCCTTGCCATCCTGCCTCTCACCCTATTGCTCGGTGCTCTTGTGTTTCCGCCTTTTGTCCTGGCAGGATGTTCTGCTCACAGCACGGAGAAGTGTAGGGCTGACGTGCTGCGTCCGGCCTCATGTTTTTGATTGACATGACATGACACTCACAAAATGGTGTGAATGGATGCTGAGTGATGATTATTCAGGTCACTCGACTTTAGTCTGCAACACCTTCACTTATTTGTGCCCCAAGTTTTTGCTATTTTGTTGCGAACTGGCTGCCGCTGCTGCATTTGACTAGGATCCTGTGGCAGAGATCAATGGTGTAATATAATTATGATTCAAACGCTCATGTGATTTTTTCCAATGCTGTTGTATGGACTTGGTATGGACAAGATAACAATATTTTAGTGGGCGGGCTCTTACTGCAGACAAACGAGGCTCAAACCTGTCGGCCTGACAAGCTGATTAGGCTCGGAACGAGCTGACACACTTCGACCTTGGTCAAGCTGAAGTTGGCCTGGGCAACCAAACCAAACGTTGCACACACACAACCGCCCCTTTCCACCAACCCTATTGCCAGTTCAGCAACACCCCGCCAGGTGGCACCGATTTCTAGCCGTGTATTCAACCAAACATCCCCAGTTGCTAAAAAAAGATATTCCTTTCCGAATTACTTTGGTACAGTTAAGCGCTGGCCAGGAGTTGCTGGTGTGTACTGGAAGAAGAGTAGTGTCCTTCCACCATCTACAGAATTCTTCCCCGTGTGCGTACTAGAAAAAAACTTGAGATTGCAGGATGACCGGAAATTATAGTTGGCACCTTCTTCCTGAATTCCACACTCGAACGGAATCGCCTTGTAGCACCCGCCGCCATAACTCCTGGGCAAAGAAAGTTTCCTCTTCCCCCCATCTCTTCCGCTTCCCGCCAGCCTTCCTGGATCCGCCCTCCTCCCCTCCCCCACGCTACCTGCGCCAAGATTCTGTGCTGCGCTTCCCCAAGCCTGCGGTCAGGGCTCGTGCTGACAATGTCGGCCACAGAGAGAGCCAAGTCGAGAGGGAAAGCTTGCCCGTCGAATCCCTCCCCTTTTCCCTCGAGTCTGTCCCAAGCAGATTCCACAGCCCCCCTAATGATCGTTGTTGGCTTGTCGTGGGTTCGCACAGACGCCATATCTGGCGGTCTTGGAATCTCCAGTGGATGTTCCGCAGCTACGCTGATCCGTTCCTAAGAAACACAGGCGCGCCAGCGCTTGTATGGTCCCGCTCCGTTATTCCCTCTGTTCGCGTGACTCTGGTCTTTTCGGTTCCCAACGGTGCCACATGCTGGTTGCTGCAGGCGGCGGGATTCGCGGAGATGCGAGCTTAATCAATCCGTCGGAAACGGCTATCAAATTCGTTGAGTCGACCTCGGCTCGAATCCCGCTCCTACTCCCCTTCGACGATGCTTCCTTGACCAGCTCTTCCCCTTCCGTGCGAAATCCTCGTTCTCCCTAGTTAGGGTTTGAACCAGCAGGAGAAGCGAGTCGATAGTTTCCCCCTACTTACTTCCTCTTTATGGTTCCGCCGTAGGCTGGCAGACGGATTCTGAACCGCGGTGGGCAACGAATGTAACCGCATATCAACGCAGCTTGCAACTGCTGCCAGCCGCCACTATTCGATTCCCGGTTGACTTCACTTCATCTCTGTGCCTCCCCACCGTAATCACTGGCATCCCTTCCGGAATCCCGGGTGGCCGCGTCAGCGGTGACGTCACTCGGGGTGTCGTCCCCGCCACCCGCTCCGCTCGCGTCGTCGTCGCTCGACCGCCACAGGCGGCGGCAGCGGGCCGTGCTGGACTGGGGGAGCAGCGTCGCGGGAGCGGCGGCGAGCAGCAGCATGTCGCGGCCGATGGCGCTGGGGCTCGTGCTGCTCGTGCTCTTCCTCACGTCGCAGTCCGAATGGCGCTCGTCGCGCTCCCACATGGACGCCGCCGCGACCGCCGCGTCGAAGCAGATGCGCGTGGAGAAGCACCGGGATGGCGTGAAGGAGAAGGTGCGCGCGCATCGCTTATTCCTCCTTGCATGCTCCACGCTGTATTTCCTACGCACGTCCCTCAATCCTTCTCTCCCGCTCCCGAATCTCCGCTGTTTATTTGTTATTTTTTGCTATCATTAGTATCTATCTGACTAACCCCGAGTCGCGCATTCTCATTCTCTTGTGGGAGGTCTTCGTTGCGTCGTTGAGCTTGTCCCTGTGCCTAAAGTTCCCGTCGTCTGTCACACCAAGTGCGAGTGACATTATGAAGTATTACTCACAACTCGTTTTTCCCTAAAACGCGTCCGCGTACCGATGCCATGTCGCGCATTTCCGTGCGCCGGCGCAGTGCATAAGAAAGCTGTTCTTCTCCCACCGTCAGATTATCATGGATCTCATGGCGGAGAACAAGCGCCTGGAGGCGGAGAGGGAGCGGCTTCGGCGCGTGGTGGAGGAGATGCAACGGCGCCTGGTGGCGTGCTGCCATGCCAACCCGCACCTCGACACTTTCGAGCCCACACTCAGGCCCTCCTCTCACCTCTCCCCGCACTCTCTGAATGACCCCTTCCCCTTCCCCTTCCTCTCCTCCTCCTCCTCCTCCTCCTCCTCCTCCTCCTCCTCCTCCTCCTCCTCCTCCTCCTCCTCCGCATCTTCCTCCTCTTCCTCCCCCTCATCATCCTTCCCGTCCTCATTCTCCTCCTTCTCTTCCTCCTCCTCTGCCTCCTCGACTTCCTCTTCCTCTTCTTCCTCTGCGTCCTCCTTCTCCTCCGCCTCTTCCTCTTCCGCCGCCCTCCCCTCACTCTCCAGCCGATCCTCCCACCCCTTGATGTTCGGGCAATCAAATGTCGATTCCTCGGGCTTGCAGCGGCAGGCAGGCGCGCAGAGCGACGGCGGGCGGGAGTATCCGCGGCAGCAGCTGCTCACTCGCAGGCATGTCGAAGAGGCGCTAGCGGGAGGCGGTGGCTTCGACGCTGATTCGCAGGAGCAGGAACAACAGCAGGAGGAGGAGGAGGAGCAGCAGCAGCAGCAGTTGACGCAGCAGCTGCAGTCGCAGGTTCAGCAGCAGCAGTTACAGAAGCAAGTGCAGTCTCAGCAGAGTCAGCAGCAGCTGGCGGGAAGCATGATGCAGGGAGGAGCGGCTGTGATCGGGCATATGACTCGCTTCCGAGGGTTTTCCGACTCGGAAGCTCGCCGAGAGCACCAGCAGCGACAGCAGCTGCTGCGGGAGCAGCAGCTGCAGCCGCAGGCGCAACAGCAGCATCCGCCGCAGCAGCACCTGTTGTTTCCACTGATTGTGCAGGAGGAGGAGGTTGGAAAGCAGGTTCATCGGCATACCTTTGATCAACGTCAGCAGCAGCAGTTGCCTGTGGCACAGAAGCAAGGAGGGTTCCAATCTCAGGAGCTTGAGCAGCAGAGCTCATATGCGGATAGCAGCAGTTTGAGCAGCAGCAGCAGTGGCAGCAACCCGGCTAGCAGCATTGCAAGCAGTGGGGAGGGCAATGCACGAAGCAGTGTGCATGTGATGCAGGAGAATGGTGCGGATGCTGATGTGCTTGCAGGTATGGGTGCAGTGCGGTTTGAAGAGGAATCCAGTGGTAGTCACGGGGGCTCAGGTGCATGAGCTGTGCTCTGTGCTTGCGCATTGACTTGGATGATTGCTTGTGTGCCTATACTCTTTCCTAGCATGGTTGTGTGTATGGCTGTGTTTTCGGAGGGGCGGTGCGGTGAACAGGGGGAGAAGAGGGGGGTGTTCTTGGGAGTGTGCACATGCCTACACCAAGGAACAAGAGGTAGAGGAATGGGAGAGGGTGAAGACATGGCTGTGAACCTCAGAAATACATACTGTATGTACACATTGCAGGTGCACATGCACAAGTAGGGTTTAACAGGTAACCTACTTTTGCAGAAACCCTGGCCTGGATTCAGGTTCTGTTTCCATCATGCATAAGGTTATTGAAGGAAAGCTGTGCATTCCAGAGAATGTATTGATATGTCAAGATCTGCAATTCTAAATACACGCTGGGCGGGCCCTCTGATCTGCAACTTTCGTACTGTAGTTTCATCTGGAATATCCTGATCCCAATATTCGCGGGAAAGATGGAGCGGGAAAAGGGTGCAGGGAGGCAAAAGCAGGGTTGTCTTGCCTTGCCTATCGGATTCGTTTCTGCTGCAGCCAGTCCTTGGAATCTCCTCGGGGACCACCTAGAGCTGGATTTGTGCGCGTTGGATACAAATCTCGATTGACAATAGCGGCAATGACTTGGATTCGAGCTACTGAACCTTGATACGCTGCCGTTGGCACTGCGCCTGCAATATGTCTTGCCTCAGCCCGTCGGCGTCTCGGCAGCAGCAGCAGCAGTCGGAGCCGTTGCCGCAGGTCCAGTCGCAAAAGGAGGAGGAATGTTCGGATGTGTTTTCGCGCATACCTGACGATCTGCTCGCCCACATCCTGCTGCTCGTCGCATCCAACGGCACCGACTTTACATGCAGTGGATCCAACGGCCAGGATCGTTTGGAAACTGACGCCGACGTCCTCCGTCAGAAGATAAAATACCTTTTACTAAATCCTGATGAGGTTTCAAACGAGGATCCGAGATCTAATGTCTCGATCCGCCATGCTGGCGTCGATTACACCTGGGATTCAACCACCCGTCGTTTTGTCACCGCTTCGCCGTCAGGAGTCACGTCGTCAACGTCAGCGTCAACGTCAAAGCCATCATCGTCGTCGTCATCGCCTGCACCCCGTCAGCCGCTGGTTTCCTTCGATCACGCTCTCGTCTCTCAGCGATGGCTTCGCGTGGCTCGCTCCGTGCATCCCGCCATCGTCGCTCGAAGCAATCGCCGCATCTCGTCGCGACTGCTCGCGGCAGCCCTCCACTCAGCGCCGTCGCGCAAACACCCCTCCCCGTCTCCTGCGCGCTTCCCCAATCTGCGTCATCTTCATGTGGGGCGCGGCGCACTCGACGCGATCGACGCCGCGCTTCTCAACGCCATCGCATTCGGCTGCGGTTCCACTCTGACGCACCTCAGCATCGTCGAGGACGCGAGCAAGCAGCAGCAGTCGCCTGCTACCGTTCAGCCGTGCAGCAGCAGCAGCAGTGGCGGCAGCGGGTACGACGGAGGCGACGGCACCGGTGGTAGCGGCGGCGGCGGCGGCGGCGGCAGCAGCGGCGGCAGCGGCGGCGGCAGCAGCAGCGGCATTTCTATCATTTTCGAGCATTGCACGCGATTGGTGGACCTGAGGATTTCTCTGCCCGTTTATTTGCTCCAGCTGCCCGTTCCCACTCTGCCCGCGTCCATCAGCAGCTTGCAGCAGCTGACGCGGCTGAGCATGGCGCTGCCGCGCCAAGTCACCGAGTTACCACCCGAGCTGGGCACCCTGCGGTCGCTCAGGAGCCTGACGATCGTCGCGCCGTCACTCACGGCGCTTCCCGGCACGTTCGCGGGGCTCACATCGCTAGAAGAGCTGGAACTTGAGGAGTTGCCAGTGGATCGTCTACCGAGCGGGCTATGGCAGTTGAAAGCGCTGAGGAAGTTGGTCTTCAGGATGATGGAAGAGCTAGTTGAGCTGCCCGCTCCTCTTTCTCAGCTCTCAGCCCTCACTCACCTCCGGATTCACTGCTGCGGCGAGTTCTGCCGCCTGCCCGAAAGTTTTGGGCAGCTGCAGCAATTGAGGGTACTCCAGCTGTTTTCGGTGGGCCGGCTTAGTGTGCTTCCAGAAACTTTGGGCGATCTGCCCGAACTGACCGACTTGGAGATTCGTAACTGCCGTCTTTTAACCATGCTGCCCAGTTCACTACCTTCCATCGCCACCCTCCAGCGGCTCACCATCCACGACTGTGGAGAATTTTCCTCGCTGCCCGAGGACATTGGGCAGCTTCTTAATTTGGAGGAACTGGATCTTGAGTCTCTTGAGATAACCGCCATTCCGAACAGCCTGGGGCGCCTCACCTCTCTGCAGAAGCTGTGGCTGTGGGACTGTTCAGGGGTTGTGCGCCTCCCACGGTCCGTATCGTCCATGCTCTCACTCGCCACGGTCTGTTTGAATGGGTGCGCTTTGGGGGAACTACCAGCAGATTTCGGTCTGCTTCAGAATCTTCATTCGCTGGAGCTGTCCCATCTTCGGAAACTTCATTCGCTGCCCAGATCTTTCGGGCAGCTGAAATCATTGAAGGAATTTAAAGTGATAGGCTGCCCTGCACTCACTCTCCCTTCAAGTTCCACATTCAACCTCTCGTTGCTTGAGGCTCTGCTAGTTCAAGGAGATACACCAATCGGATCGTTCCCTTCCAGCTTCGGGCAGCTGCCAAACCTCCGCGAGCTCGACCTCAGCGCCGGCTGCGAATTCGACTCCACCGGATCCAACGCTGTGGCCAGCCTGCCCAAGCTGGAGGTGCTGAATCTGAACAGAGGCGGCTCCATCGGAAGAGGCCTACAGCCCGTGCCGGGCGACTTTGCTCAGCTGGCGCCCGGCCTTCGCATTCTGGAGTTAGAGGGGCTCAGGCAGCTTGACTTCATCCCTGCATCGCTCACCCTTCTCACGCGCCTGCAGCGGCTGAGCATTGCAGGCTGTGAGCAGCTGAGGGAGTTGCCAGAGGGCTTGGGCAATCTGGTTAGTCTCACGGAGCTACAGTTGAGCTCCTGCCCCCGGCTCCACCTGTTCCCATCGCTTCTCACCGCTCCATCGTCTCTTGTACCGTTTCCCACCTCCTCAGCTTCCATCACTGCTGTCCCCACCGACTCAGCTGCTCCTTCTCCTTCTCCCTCCGCAGTACCCGTTGCCACCACAGTAGATACTTCTTCCCTTACCTCCGTCCTCGTTACCAACACTGTCCCTTCGCCTGATTGCTCCTCCCACTCACACACCCCTCCCCCCCTCCCCTCCCTCCTCCGCCTGTCCATCAGTGACTGCCCGTTGCTCACCGCCCTCCCCAGCGACCTCCATCAGCTGACACGTGTCAACACGCTCCACCTTGAAAACTGCCTGAATCTGAAACCCATTCACCACACTGCATCGCCCTTCGCCCCTACTGATTCTTCCACCGCTTCACCTGCTGCAGACCCCAACCCAGCAGCACCATCGCTGTCCTTGCCCGCGTCCCTCACCAGTCTCACCATCTCACGAGCCTTTCACCCAGCCACGTGCTTTCCACCCTCCGTCCTCACCCTCTCACGCCTTCACACCCTCGCACTGACTCACCTGCCCGCACTCAAGCAGCTAACCGCCCCCATGGAAGACTCTTTCAGCTGTCTCTTGAGCCTCCACACCTTGGTCCTCGACTCATGCGACGCCTTGTCATCCCTGCCTGCTTCCTTGCCCTCCCTGCCAAGTCTCTCAAGGCTTATCATCCAAATGTGCCCGCGCCTCCCCCACTTGCCTGAGAATCTCGGGCAGTTGAAAACTTTGGAGGAGCTGGCCGTGGTACAATGTGAGGGAATGACAGAAGTCCCCTCCTCCCTCACTCTGCTCACCTCTCTGAAACAGCTGAGCATTGTCAACTGCCCCAGAGTATCCTCCCTCCCAGATCACCTCTCCTCCTTCTCCCGCCTCTCCTCCCTCCGTCTCAGCTGCCTGCCTTCTCTCCAACACCTCCCCTCCTCCCTCGCTCTCCTCCCCTCCCTCCGCCACCTTGACCTCCAAGGCTGTTCCAATCTGAGCGCGCTACCGGAGGACTTGGGCAGGCAGGCTGCTCTATGGACAGTGGATTTGGGTCAGTGTGCGAGCTTAGAGCGTCTGCCGGTGGCCCTGTGCTCTGGCAACGTGGTAAGGAGTGGGCCGTGGGGCCCGGATTGCAGATAGGCTGTTCGAGATTAGCACCGGTACTGTATAAGTGTACTTTAAAGGGACATACGGGTTGTGCAAGGGGGGAGGGTCTTAGGGATTGTTTACTTGACGCTTGTACGGTACATATCACAGAGGGTAGGTTGTGGTAGAGCTGTGTAAGTGATCAGGGTTCCGGTGTGATTTCACCCTGTTTTAAAGGATTTTGGCGGCCTCCACCAGTTTCATTGGGTGGTATCTTCTATCTTGATGCAGGCAATGTACGAGTTACTAAGTGCAGGAGGTAGTTTCAGGTCACCAGTTTGTACACTACCGTATAATGACTACCGTAAGTGGTGTTTTTAGTTTCATATCCAGTAGCTTCCCTGTTCATGCTGAAGACCAAGGAAGCTTGTGTGGTTGGAGGGACATACATAACAATTTCAAGGACAACTTGGGGATATCAACTGTGCTGTCTCAACTCTAGTGTACGTCGCTCCATGGCAACACCGAGTGCAAGCAAACAAGCTTCAACGCCCGCAAGTCCCTATCGCCTCCTAGCTGAAAGAGGTAGAAAAAGCATTATCAAGCACCAGCTTCCGCTCCGTCTCAAGCGACAAGGATAGAGTGCCACTAAGATGTGCGGTACACTGTCAGAGTTATATTACTGTAACTGCATGTAGATATAGCAGTAGTGTAGTTATCACATTCTGTTTGGTGGATTACCCCCTTTCCTATCATATTTGTACCCTTGACTCTATAGTGAAGTCCTCTTTCATTGCCAACTCCCTCGACACTCTACCTCCTAGCATGGCTCCTAAGACTAAACCCTAGCAACCTATCTTGACATGGTTTCAGAGCTGGTTCTTTCCTAGAACCCTTATTTTTTTTTCAGAAACATGGGCCCGCCCTTAATGCAGCGCGAAATGCGCTATTTTCTTCGTCCCGTCGCGCCCTGCGCCCGTCTGATTCGTCGCCCCGCGGCCCCCCATTTCGTCGCCCCGCGGCCCCCCGTTTCGTCGCCCCGCGGCCCCCCCCGTTTCGTCGCCCCGCGGCCACCCGTTTCGACGCGCCGGGGCCCCCCGTTTCGTCGCCGCGGACGCCAGCGCCGGCGGGCGCCAGCACCAGCACAAGCACCAGCGACGAGCGCCAGCGCCGGGGCCGGCTCCCAGCGCCAGCAGCCCACGCCAGCGCCGGCAGCGGGTGATTCCGCCCTTCCCACCCGCCCTCCCTTCCGTCGTGGAGGGGGGGGGGGGGTGGGGGGGGGGCGGGTGTGAGGAGCCTGCCGCTCCTCCCTCCCTTCCCTCTTCCTCTCTCCCTGCAGCACTTGTTGCTGTGGGGGGGGGGGAGAGGGTAAGGGGGGATGAGGGAGGGTATGAGAGAGAGTGGCAGAAGCAGCAGCCCTGCATTTGCAACTGCCACCCCCTGCTACTGTGGCACCTCCAGCTGCAGCCCCTGTTGCCACTTAATTCGTCTCTTTCGTTTGCTGCTGTTGAGCGGCAGGTGCTGCCGTTGAGCCTGCTGTGCCGCCGCTCGTTGCCGCCGCACGCCGCTCTCCAGGCGACCTGCGCCACATGCACCTTTCTTTCGTTTCTGTATTGGCTAAGGGGTTTCTGCAGTTGTTTCTGCCACTGCTGCACTGGTTGTCATTGCTCTTGCGTGCTAATGCTTTCAGTACACTTGCAGGTTGTGATTTATGCTTTGCTATTCCTGCATGCAGTTAAGGGGGAATGTCAGAGTTATATTACTGTAACTGCATGTAGATATAGCAGTAGTGTAGTTATCACATTCTGTTTGGTGGATTACCCCCTTTCCTATCATATTTGTACCCTTGACTCTATAGTGAAGTCCTCTTTCATTGCCAACTCCCTCGACACTCTACCTCCTAGCATGGCTCCTAAGACTAAACCCTAGCAACCTATCTAGACATACACTTGCAAGAATCTCGCTGGAAGAAATGCAGCACAGCACCAACTTCAGAGGCGAACACCCCCCCCCTTCAAGCAACTGGGATCTCGACGGCAGCAGCGGGAGCAGGCTCTGGCGGAGCAACCTTGGCAATGGTGAGGGTGAGCACGCCGTTGTTCATCTCCGCCTTGACGTGCTCCGCCAGCACGCTGTCCGGAACGGCCAGAGTGATCTGCCAAGCCCAACAAAGCAGTATAGAGAGTGAATCAGAGACAAGTGACGGCTCTATTTGTAATGCGAACTATAATGCTTCTCCTGCAAACTGCTCAGGCATACTAGGCATGGCAAAATATCACGAGGCGCCTCACCTGGTAGGACTTGGCGACGCGCGCATCCCGAAGCCCCTCTCCCTCCTCCCCGGCGGTCTCCTGCGCCTTGTGCTCTCCGCGAATCAGCAGATCGCCATTCTCCAGCTTCACCGACACCTCCTCCTTGGACAGACCTGCACGCGCGGACGACGAGACGTGGTCTCACATCAGCCATCAGCACATGATGGGATGTCATCAGTCATGACGCGCTCGAACGCCAGCAGAGCAAGATGGGATGGCATCAGCCGCCACGCAGGAACGCCCGCAGCCTAGTGACCAGCAAAAACACGATGAATCTGCTCGCTATTCGGATATGAAACGGGATTGCGGCGGGCGGCGCGGCACCTGGCATGTCGAGGCGCGGCGAGGTGACGCGGAAGAGCGAGGGGAAGCGCGGCATGGGCGGCAGGAGCGCGTCGTCGAACATGCGATCCACGGAGTCGAGCAGCTGCGTCAGCGAGCTGTTCGCCGGGAAGAACGGGTCCCAAAGATCTGGCGACGATGAACGAAGTTGATGAGTGAGGAGATTGAAGGGCGTAGAACACAAATTCGCGTGTCCGATGCATGGTCGAGAATGCGTTTTGCTCGTACTTCTCAACTGAAAGAGTCCCAAGGGGAGCGACGGCACGGGATGTCAAGTCCCTCTTTTCACTCCTCTCCGTTTCCGTTGGCATCGCCTCGTGCTGCACCATCTGCTTCTCGTCCTGCGACTTCTGCTGCGACTGCTGCTGCTGCTGGGGCTTGTCCGCCCATGCGAATATAGTGCGGGACCCTGACACGCAGCGAGGCGCCTTCAAAACGTCTGCAATAGGGCGTGGATCAATGCTGAGTGAGCATGCGATAAAGTGCGATAAAAGGTATAACTGATTGATGCAATACGGGAATTCGTCGTTGCAGGAGCAAGCATGTCATACCTGGCTTTTTATGGAGAAGAGGGGTCTGCAGGCTAGGCACGCTGCGAAGAGTCAGAGCAGTCGTGGAAGCCATGGCTGCAGTCGTCCGCAAAATCTCACGAAGCAAAAAGAGCGACTCTCGCGCGAGAAAAGAAAAGGCGACGGGTGAAGGCTTCGTCGACTCTGTCTAATGAGCGTTGCGAGCTTTGTGAGCCTTTGTGTTGGCGTAGCGTTGGAAAGGAATCGGAGGCTGAGATGATGAATTGGGGCATCCTGGTTGCCTCTTATACGGTACAACAAATCTGAGCATCGTTCAACCTCATCACCAGTGGTGTTCTGTGGCACCGAATTCGACTTGCTCGAAGCGGCACGCAATTCCATTCTCACGCGCCTCGGCCTTTCCAGAAGCATTCCAAAACGAAGATTTTGTACTTGCTTTGGTGGTGTGGTGTACTTTTGTGTTATTGACTGGATATACTGTCACATTCATTAGAGAACGGAACACAATCTTGGGCATTGAGATTAGTAACCCTGAACCAAACTGTAGCTTATCACTGTCATGTCGACCTTTTCTAGACATCCGACTTGATACGGTTTTAAAAATATAGTATACGTATATGCCATATGTTTTGAACCCGTGAGCCAGCCGCAGTCCAATGGTGCAGGTAGGCACGCAACCAAGCCATTCATATTGACTGACTGGGTTGGCTGAAAAGTATACAGCGTTCTGCTTTGGTTTCACCATCGAACCTCAATTCTCACAGCAATCAATTAGTTGACATAGGTAGATCTGGCAGAAACAGGAACACGGCAGACATAGACAAGATAAAGCAGGAAGAGAAAGAGGAAAGCAAAAGGGACCTTGAAGTGACTGCTTTGGGACAGATGGAGTGTGACATGACATGCTTGGACTTTAGGGAACTCTGGTGCAGGCGTATGGTTCTGGAAGTCTCCAGCTTTCGGAATGAATGAATGGCCCTACGATCGGAACACCTACGCAACTCACCACACCTACAATCTTGCAACCCAAGGTTGCGAAAGCAATGGTCTGACCATAGGTGCAGCACAGCAACAATCACCACCACAGCAACTGGTATTCTGATGACCAACTGGCACAGAGCCTCACCGTGATTACAGCGCCGCACAACGGCCGGACTTAACTCACACACAGTGGGCGAGAGCGCACATCAGTCAATGTCCACACGGGCGTCCATGACGGGAAGGGCCAGCCCTCCTCCATGAGCCACAGCCACATGACGGTGTACGCGTGACTCGTAATTTTTGTACCTCGCAGAGAGCTTTGCACCCCACAGAGAATTCCGTACCTCGCAGAAAATTCTGTACATCAAAGCGGCCTCGGGATTACCTCACGGCACGTCACAGTGGGCGAGAGCGCATGTCAATGTACGCGTGGGCGTCTGAAAGGGGCATGCCCAGCCCCTCCACGAGCCCTCTGGCCACCACTCGGCGATAGGCTTCAGAGGGCGGGTTCATGGGCAGCTTGCGCAGGCGGAACTTGGACAGGTCTGCCTCGGAACAGCTGATGGCGTGAGAGAGGAAGGAGGGGGGTGGCAGGTGGCAAGAGGCGACTTAAAGAATGGGAACTTTGGCAGGTCTGCCTTGCAACAGCTGATTGTGTGAGTCGAGTGGGATGGCGACAAGGTGTGGCGGATGAGAAGAGGCGTAAAAAAAATTGGAACCTGGAGAAGTCTGACTCGCAACAGGTGATTGCGTGAGAGAGATGATTGGGAGGACGACAGGCAGGTGGGAGGTTAGGAAGGAAGGAGGAGGGCGGAGGGAGGTGGTTGGAGGTTGCAAGGGGGAGGTGGCGGGGGCAAAGGGGGGATGTGGGAAGGACGAGGATGGTACAGGGAATCGGGTTTTGTGAGAAGGGATCATCGGGAGGAAGCAGAGAGAAGGCAATGCGCTGTGCACAGAGCACATTCGAATCGAGTCGGTTTGGTGGGCACAGAGAGGCCCAGTGGGAGATGCATGAGCGCATGGGAGCATGGGGGCAAGGGAGCATGAAGGCAAGGGAGCATGGGGGCATGGGAGCATGGGGGGATGGGGGCATGGGGGCATGGGGGCAAGGGGCAATGGAGGCATGGGACATGTGAGGTAGGAATTGGAGCAGACCTGAAGGTGAGTATTGGGCATCCATCATCAAAGCCCAGTAGCAGCACAGTGCCGTACCAGCCACCCTGTTACAGCACGCTCACACACACAACCAGCGAGGAGCAACACCGGAGGGATAGGGGAGGGAGTGAAGGACCAAAGGAATGCGTGAATGGAAGAACGTAGCTGGAAAAATGAGGCTGCCCGCATGCGGAGAACGAGAACTGGTCCAGTTTGAGAGGAACACAAAACTTTTGATTCCCAAGGAGTCATCCAAATGTGCATGTCCATGTGCATGTGCATGTGCATGTGTATGTGCCATGTCCATGTGCATGTGCCATGTGTATGTGCATGTGCATGTGCATGTGCATGTGCCATGTCCATGTGCATGTGCCATGTGTATGTGCATGTGCATGTGCATGTGCATGTGCATGTGTATGTGCATGTGTATGTGCATGTGTATGTGCATGTGTATGTGCATGTGTATGTGCATGTGTATGTGCATGTGCATGTGCATGTGCATGGAATCCAGAATGTGTGCATGTGCTCTTAACTCGCTTCCAGTAAATTTCAAGAGTGCCTCCAACATGTGCATGTGCCGCAGTATCTGCGCACATGTGCTCGCTATGTAACATGACTCGCTTAAAAAATACGCAAGCAGGAGGGAAGGGGAGATGGAAAGCGGAGAAGGATAGAGAAGGCAGACCGGAAGAATCTCGTGGAAAGCAGCTGGTGACGGCTGCTGCGTTGCTGCTGTGGAAGCAGAAGCTCCCACTGCCGCAGCAGCGGCAGCAGCAGCAGTAGCATCGCTAGGCTTGGCTTGTGCATCAGATATGGTGGTGCAGGCTGATGCCTCTACTGCTGCTGCTGCCCCTGCTGCTGCTGCCCCTGCTGCTGCCCCTGCTGCTGCTGCTGCTGCTGCCGGTGGTGACGCGAGTGCTGCTGGTGTGCGGCTAGATTCGAATGGGACAGAGGGTGAGGGCCCTTGCAGGGACGAGGCGGGGAGAGCATTGAGCAAGCGGGAGGAGAGTTTTGCGAGGAGGGAGAGGGAGAGCAGTGAGTGGTTGGTGGTGGCGAGGAGAGACGCGGACCGGGAGTTCTCCTGTGCTACCACCTCGTTGAACTGCCGCAGACTGGTGCGGAGGGGTGGAGAGGTGTGGGTAATGGTGGGGTGGGATGGAAAGGGGGATGGGAAGAGGGAGGTGAGGAGAGTGTGGGGGCATGGGGGGGTGTTTGAGTGAGGGATTATGTTGGAGTGTAAGGAAGAAATGGCAATGGTAGCAAGGTGGCACAGCTGAGTGCAACCATCACAGACGGCCGACACTGATGAGCCCTGAACAGCGCAGTTACCCTCGCGTACAATCACTCACCCGTCTACACATGCACTCACGCACGCACGCATGCACACGCGCACGCACACACATGCGCACGCACGCACACAAGCACGCACATGTGCGCGCAGTCACACAGTCACACAACCACGCACGCACAAACAACTTCACTCACGTGATCTTATACATGCGAACATATGTGTGTGCCGTGCCCGGGTGCCCTCCCTTGGACCCAGGTGGATGGTGCACCTGCACACCTGCTTCGCCCCCCATGCCTGCTGCTCCAGAGGAAGCAGAACCAAAGGCAGAAGCAGCACCAGCAGGAGCAGCAGAGAGAGGGGTAGAAATCTCTGGGAAGGAAAAGGGCGAGGAGGACAAGGAGGAAGCTGCTGAGGAGGAGGAGGAAGAGGAGGAACAGACGGAGGAAGAGGAGGATGGGTAGAGGTCCAGAAAGCACAAACCGCCAGGGCCCCACGTGGAGGTTCGGTTCCTGCCGAACCACATGCGGTACGGTACGGAAATCCACTTGGAGGCTCGGGGCGGCGTGGGGTCAGAGCAGCCGTGGCAGGGATGGATCATGCCTTCCATAGCACCTCCCCGTATGTAGCACATGAATCGCTCCTCTAGCATGTTAGACCCATAGCTTGCGTACCATACAAAAGTCTCCTCCTCTTTCTTCCATTCCTCCTTCCACTCCTCCTTAAACTCCCCGCTCTCGTCTTTCAAGCTAACCTCTTCGGGTTTGCTCTCTGGCTCGATCCCTTCCCAATAGCTTCCGTTCTCATCTCTCGGCTTGGCTTCGTTTTCCACCCCATTGCCCCCGCCCTCCCGTCCTTCAACCGCAGTGGCTGCCGCAAGTGTTGCACTGACCCCTGCTGCTCGCACTTCCTCCTGCTGCTCCGTTCCATTAGCAACTTCTCCCATACCTGCCCCATCTCGAGTCTCTTTGGCTGCTACTCCCGCACTCTCCCCATCCCCTCTAAACCCCATGCTCCTTGTGCCACTCTCCCCTTCCCCTGCCCCAACCCCTGGTAGGTCCTCAAAGTCTATCGAGGCATCGGAGGGGGTAGAGGGGGATGTGGGCTGGCGGTGGGGGGTGTGGCAAGGAAAGGGATAGAGTAGGATGGGACAGAAGGCATGAGTACATCAGGTTCACGGGCTTGTAGTATAGATATGCGTGTGCATGCATGGATGTGACCGCATGGATATGCATATGAGCGGAGTAACTAAGCCTGTGCAAGAATATTGGTATTCGAGAATTATTCGATATTCGTTCGAATACCTGAATTCGAGAGAATAAGAAATGGCCGAGTATTCGAAAGTATTCGCATCGCGAGTATTCGTGGATGTAGAATATTCGGCTAACGTATATTCGTGGTATTCGTTACTATTCGGTATTCTACCATTAACAGCCTCCACCCCCCCCTCCCCTCATGAGAACCGTGCTCAAAAGCCTAGCAAGATAGTTGCTGGAGCGGGATTTGGGAAGGTCATGGTGCGGGATTGAGTCGTGGTGTTGATATTATAAAGTGCATTGCATCACCCTGTGTCGAACATGCATTAGCCGTTCGACACTGGCTATACAAAATATATTATTTCTTGACACTTATTCGTATTCGATTCGGATTCGGCAGTATTCGAATCGTATTCGTCTTCGGTTTTGGGGCGGTATTCGGTCAAATAAGAAACCACCCAGTATTCGGAGAATATACAGGAAAGATATTCGTATTCGTATTCGTTTTTACAGGCTTAGGAGTAACGCACATGGAAGCATGATTGTACAAGCGCAGCTCAGACGCTTGAGGCGTGTGAAATGTATAAGTTCTTTCTGAGCTGTGTGAAATGTGTGTGTGGGTTGGCTTGTAAAAAAATCGTGGAATGGTGACTGACTGTACAAGCTCAGCTCAGATGTATGTGCATATGGAATGCTCGGGCACTACACCCATGCGCACCCGCATGCCTGCGCCGCACACATGTAAACGGCTATGTTGGAAAAAACGCTTGGGCGTCGATGCGTATCACGTTTATACGATAACGTATATACGGAAAAACGTGATACGTTCCGTAATACGTGATACGTTTCGTTGGGCAGCCCGGAAAAAAATTTGTTGCCGCTTATTCCGCGATCTGCGATTCCGTGAAACCTAATTTTGAGTTTCGAAAGTCGATGCCCCCCCCTCCCTCCCCTCCCCTCCACCGCACATTACCCCACACCACCTCCCAAACCCAACCTTTCCGTTCCCAAGCTTTCACGTCGGCGTGCGTACAAGAGCTAGAGGAGACTTTCTTAATCTCATTTTGTCTCACGCCTCTTATATTCTACGTCCCTTCTTAACTCGTAGTTTAGCTTTGAATAGCTATGTCGACCGCTAATGTCGCACCTGCTATTGCTAGCAGTGGAGTAACGTCGCATAGCTTGCCAGGTCTTTGCAGCCGCAATTTCAGGGCGACTTTAGCCAACAAATATCTAACATTTCAGAGATAAACGCGAGAACTACAAAGGGAGTAATCCGCATCTGAAAGTATTGCTAAAGTAATCATCCCCTTATACATTCTACCTCCGCCGAAGTGTTTTTTCTCTGCCCGGAGGTTTTTTTTGTCTGCCCGACACAGCGAATTCTGAGCGTTTTTAAAACTGCCAATCCGGCGTATCACGTACGTACGGTAGCGTATAGTACGTACGCGACTGATACGCCATGCGCGTATTTTCCAACATAGGTAAACGGCATACATGTCTGCATGCGCGTGCATGCATGCATATGTGTGCAAGTGCCTGCATGTGAGCGCATACATCGCCGGTGGGGTATCTGCATTTTCTAAGAAATTGCTCACCATTCCACATACCTGCATGTCGACCGGAACACCAGCAGACGCCAGAGCAGTGGCAGCGGCAGCAGTGGCAGCTACATGCGCCATCTCAGCTTCAGAAAGATGGGAGAAAAGATCGTCCATAGACAGAGCAGGCGCGGCAGCAGCGGCAGACGAGACGTGGGGGGGGAAGGAAGAGTCAGGGTGGGAAGAGGTGGGGGTGGAGGAGAAGGAGGCGTGGAGGGATGCAAGGGAGTGCAGGAAGGTGGAGAGGTCGAGAGGCGAGGCGAGGCATGGCCACCAATGGGAGAGATGCTTGCGCACCTGGTGGTGGGAAGAGTGGGGGATGAGGATGGGAGAGGGGAGAGAGTGGGGGATGAGGATGGGAGAGGGGAGAGAGTGGGGGATGAGGATGGGAGAGGGGAGAGAGTGGGGGATGAGGATGGGAGAGGGGAGAGAGTGATTCTCGTGAGGTTGGAAAATTGTACAAGCGAGACAAAAGCTATAGTACGAGTGATTCTCGTGCTATCACAGCTGCGTAATTCGAAAAGTGAAGCGAGCGTGTGGCAACTCAATAGGCAAGCACGCGCGTGTGCGAGACCAAGAATATGCTGCATCCAACACACAGTACCAGGTGTGAATCATGCTGCCTGAGGCAACCAACATGTCTCCTGGAGCACCCGAAATCTCGCTTGAAGCACCTGATATCTCACCTGAAGCACAATATATCTGACTTAACGAAATATCTAAAAACAACCTCTCCTGGAAGCACCTAATATACCACCCTGTGTGGAGAAAAACACGTTCTTAGTTTTAAACGCTTGCATTTGAACGCAGCGTTTAAAGCGCAGAACGCATAGGGTTTAGGGTTCCAGAAAGCGCAGAAAAATCGCAGGGCCGGGCAGGGTAATAAACCTACGGGCAGGCAAAAAAACATTCTCATAGGGCATGGGGCGGAGGGGGAGAAGCGCATAGCACAGATTTGAGCAAAATTTTCCCCCACAAAATATCTCTCCCCATATCATTTGGTTCCCAAAAGTCACATTTTGTCTCATTTAGTCACTCTAGTCTAGCAATTAGCAAACTGGAGCAAGCAAGCATGCCATTTTTCCCTAATCCTCGTCCTCCCCACCCTCCTCCTGGTGCTCGTACTCATCCACATATATGGCAACCTCACCCACCTCCACCTCCCCATCCTCCTTCAATTTGTACCCCTCGGGGAGGGGAGGTGTGGGAGTGTTCCCCTCCACGACCCCTCCCTTCCTTCCCACCTCACTAGGCCTTGCAACAGCTGCATCCTTGTGCTGGTTGTGCACAATAGTCCAATTGTGCGCAACGTACACAAGGTCTCCGAACCTGAGCCTGTTCCCGAGCGCCGTGTGCACGCCATCCCAAACAGCCCAGTTTCGCTTGCACAATTCGTCTCTATGCATCAGCGTCGACAACTCCTCCGCCAGTTGCAGCATGATGTCGTAAATCGTTCCTATCATCTTCTTCGCCGTCCACCACCATTCCGCATACATCACCCACCCCTTGAAGTCACGCGCCATCGCCTTTTTCCCCTTCTCCTTTTTCCAGTCGACATGCACCACAATCTGCAGCACTCGCGGTTCTTCTTAACCATTGTGGTGCTAGACCACAATGGTTGCAATTTCTATATGCTGTGCGGTGCAATGCGTTCGAGCTCAAATTTGATTGAATGGATGGGAATTTTATATGGGCTGGTTTTCTGGGGTCGATTTGGGTTGGAAGGGGTGAGTTTTTTACGAAATTGACATTCGCGCAAAATGGCAAATGACGATTCCGCGCTCTTTTTTTTTTTTTTTTTCCGGGCTGCCTGAAAACTTTCGCCCAAGAGTTCTGCGTTTTCCTGTGCGTTCTGCGCGTTTGAACGCACGATTTGGGGTTTTCTACCACCTAAAGCACCCGAGACCTCACTCACCTGAAGCACAGTGGCAAGGCCGGACTGGGAGAGGCGGAGGGGCCATTGGGGGGGGGGAGCAGCGATGGGGGGATCACCGAGCATGGCGGCGACACAGGCAGCGAAGCACTGCTCTATGGAGTCGAGATTGTATCCCCCCTCCAACACCACCACCACCCCCGCTGCTGTTGCCCGCAGCAGCTGGTGTGCAGAGGGGTGGGAGAGGAGAGGGGAGGATGGTGACGGACAGGGGGGGTGGGGAGTCGAAGGCAAATGGGGGGGACGGGGTTGTGCATAAGTGAGGAGAAGAGCGGCGGGGTATTAGAAGAAGGGGGATAGTGACAAGGGGGAGTAGGCAAGGTGAAAAGATGATGGGAAAGGAAGGGGAATGAGTGCGGGTGTGGGAGACAACAGAGCACGAGGAAAGAGAAAGAGATGGGAATGCCAGCAGAAGGAAACGAGCTACCACTTTGTCAAAACCCCGCTCGCACCAGCAGGGTTTTGAGGAAGCGGTAGCTGAGCCTTGCTGGTGCGAGCGAAAGGACAGGGACAGGGGCAAGGGCAAGGGCAAGGGCAGGGGCAATGGCAAGCGCAAGGGCAAGTGGCACCTTGTGTGTGAGGTGCGAGTAGCCAAAGGGTGTCAGCTTGCACCCACCAAGGGGATCGTTCACCGCTGCACCATGCCATGCCATGCCATGCCATGCCATGCCACACCATGCCATGCCACACCATGCCATGCCATCCCATGCCATGCCATGCCATGCCATGTCATGACAGACAAACGCAACAATGGGCATCATTCCAAGCAGCAAAATCCAAAACAGGCAATGAGGGAAAAGCACAGTTCCACATTGTAATGATCACATGATGCAGGCAGCCTCGCCTTGCACTGCCTTACCCAACTACTACTGGGCAATCAGATCAAATCAAACCCAGCGAACACTAGCATCAGCTGGGGCTGGCTGGCTGAGATTTATGCAGCAGCGGCGGGAATTAAGTCAGCTAAAAAATCAGCTCAACTCACAACAAAAACTCCCTTCCCCCTGTCCCCCCCACCCCTTCGCCCCCCTTTACCTGCATCGAAGCCGGCGGAGACGAGCACGAGTTGGGGCTGGAAGGCGGAGAGCAGCGGCAGCAGCAGGAGGTCCCAGGCGGCAAAGTAGTCCCCATCGCCGTACCCCCCGCCCGGCCACGGCACGTTCACGTTGAAGCCCTCGCCCCGCCCCGCCCCCACCATGTCGTAGTCCCCGTCCGGGCCCGCCGGGTAGAACATGCCGCCCTGGTAGCTGGGGGGGTGGAGGGTGGGGTGGAGGGTGGGGTGGAGGGTGGGGTGGAGGGTGGGGTGGAGGGTGGGGTGGAGGGTGGGGTTGAGGGTGGGGTTGAGGGTGTGGGGGGGGGTGGGTTTGAGGGTGGGGGAGGGGTGGGGTTGAGGGCGGGGGTGTGACTTTGAAACCACTCCACGCGCCCCACTCTGCCCTGACCTGCCCCGCCCCCACCTTGTAGTAGTCACCATCCGGGTCTGCCGGGTAGAAAGAACGTGCCGCTCTGAGAGATGGTGGCGGTTGGGAGAGGGGGAGAGGGGGAAGTGGGGGAGTAAGAGAAAGCAAGCAAGAGGGAGGATGACGGAGGAAGGAGGGTGAGGGAGAGGAAAAAAAAAGGGAATGAACGTGCTAACCTGGCAACTGGGGGTTATTTTTTTAAGAATTCTCAAAAAGGAGGGGGAGAGGAGCGAGCGTGAGTGGGAAAGGCAAGCGTACCGGTGCACACTGAAGTAGAGGAGCATACCGGTGCACACTGAAGTAGAGGAGGCGCGGGTCGGTCCAGAACATGTGCTGGATGCCGTTGCCATGATGCACGTCCCAATCCACCACCAGAATGCGCTGCACCCTGCCACTGTCCTGCTCCCATGCATGCATGTATCAGTCCAATCATGCATGCATGCATGCGCGCACACATTCATTTGTTTAACCGGGCATGCATGGGTATATGATGCAATGGCATGGTGAGGAAATGAGGTAGGCAATGGCACGGATGGTGTGGTGTGGTTTGGCATGGTGAGGTCTAGTGCGTGGTGTGGTGCGGTATGCTATGGTATGGCATGGTGTTTGGCAACGAGGGCGACATTTTTGAAGAAGCAGAAGAAGCCGATGAAGCAGGTAATGATTGTGTCAATAGTTGTGCTATTTTACTCTGACTGGTTGTAGGTTAAGGGCTTGACAAAATGTCATGGTTAGACTTGCAGCGGGCTCTGATTAACCTCACACCCAACAAACACCAACAAACATTTTGCTAATCACTACAACACCTTTAGTCTTACTATTTTGGCACTTGGTGATGTTGGGAATTGTCGTTGAACGACGGTTGTGATGGCAGGCTTTGTCAAACTCATCACTTTTCAGAGCTGAACTTTTGCTATACCCATTTTTTCTTCAATCCATGGCTGTCATGTGATTTCACCAGGATACCCCGCCGCACTCAAATCGCGATAGCAATCGACCTAGATCTTGGTTGAAATCGTGCTTTATCAGTATGGAGAGTAGAGATTAAGACTTTTCTAACGCGTATCTTCTCAGCTTTTTAGGTTACAGGAGCTGCACTTAATTTTCCGACGAAGTTGGCAGACTTTATTTCTTGTTTCACACTTTATTTCGCACAGTTTCCATCAGCAGGCAGCAGCAGCACAACCTGTTTCAACACGACTCCTAACTCAACTGAAGCACACCCACCCACCAGGAGGTGCTTGGCGGCGAGGGCGACGTTGTTGAAGAGGCAGAAGCCCATGGGGCAGTGCGCCTCCGCATGGTGCCCTGGCGGCCGCACCGCTGCCGCTGCGTGATGCAACTTGTGCGCTGCTACCTGCTGCGATAGCTGTGGAGGGGAGACGAGAGGGGGGACGGGGAAAAGAGCAAAGGCAGCGAGAGGGGAGGAGATGGATGAAGAAGCGAAGAGCGGAGCGAGGGTAAGGGAGGGAGGGTTGCACCATTGCGAGACACATGTTTGGCAATCAAGGAGAAGGCGCGGGCTTTGTGTTTCACAACAGATGCCTACGGATTGACGATTGAGCAAGTCGAGAAGAAAACCAAAAGAAAAGCAGACGACAAAGTAGAAGCAGAGTGCATGCATGTGCTGAAAACGGTAGGTGGGTAGGTAGCAGCATGCAGCAGGCAGCGAAGAGCAGGCAGTAGAGAGCAGAGAGCAGAGAGCAGCAAGCAGACCTCAGCGACGGAGCCAGCAGCAAGGAGGGCGGAGGAGGAGGAGCCTTCGTTGAAGAAGATGGAGTTGAAGGCGCGGCTGCACGCGTCTCTCTCCTCCGCGCTCAGCTGGTCGCTGCTGACGGCGCGGATGAACGCCACGTGGTCCCGCGTGTGCACCGACTGCAGCTCCTCGTCCGTTGCCTCGCGCGCTGGCACGCGGATGCACCTGGTGGCACGGGGTTGAAAGTGAAAAGCCAGGGGAAACGGGGGGAGTACTTGGTGGTGGGGTGGTTAAAAATAGAGGTGGGGAGGGGGATGGGGTTGAAGCAAGGGGTTAAGCCAGGGGTGTGTGGACGGTCAAGTCGCAAGATAAAGCCGGCACTAGCCCCCTTAATGTTGCACAGGCAGAGAAAGGCGGCACTGGATGGGATGGGATCGGATGGGATGGGATGGAATGGGATGGGATGGAATGGGATGGGATGGGATGGGATGGGATGGGATGGGATGGGATGGAATGGGATGGGATGGGATGGGATCGGATCGGATGGGATGGGATGGAATGGGATGGGATGGGATGGGATGGGTTGGGATGGGATGGGATGGGATGGGATGGGATGGGATGGGATGGGATGGGATGGGTTGGGATGGGATGGGATGGGATGGGATGGGATGGGATGGGATGGGATGGGATGGGATGGGATGGGATGGGATGGGATGGGATGGGATGGGATGGGATGGGATGGGATGGGATGGGATGGGATGGGATGGGATGGAATGGGATGGGATGGGATGGCATGGTAGCACACAGCTCACCGTTGTGCGAGGCCGGTAGATTGCAGGTAGGAGAAGATGCGGTGGATGCGCGCGGGCTGCTCGGGGTGGTCCATCTCGGGGTCCTGGTGCGCCATCATGCGCTCGTCGTACGCCACCCCCACCCTCCAAGCCCCCGCCGCTGCTCCTTCTACCGCTGCGCCTGATTCTGCCGAAACTGCAGCTGCTGCTGCTGCTGCTGCTGCTGCCGTTGCGGAAGCTGCTTCTGCTGCTGCGGTCGGTTTGACTGGGGGCGCTGCTGTTGCTGATGGGGGAGTTGCGGCGGGATGGTAACCACCCGCGGCTGGTTGCGCGGGCGCGCGATCGGACACGGTGAGCGCGCTCATATGCGAGTCCTCCGCCGTGCTCCCCGCCGCGGACGCCGACGCAAATCGCGCGGAGTCCTCTTCCGCAATTGACGGCGCGATCGACGGCGGCGACGGGTGGATGGTCATGGTGGAAGGACCATCGTGCATGGGCGTGTCATGATGGTGCGAGGGCTCCATGTCGCGGCCTGGACCGATCGGCGTAGAAGAATGTATACCCCGAACCGGAACTGGGTGTGATTTAGAGGGAAAATGCGGGATCTGTAGCGGTTGATAAGGGAAGACGAGTTTCCAGCAGGTGTAGATTAATAATGATGCGGCGAGAAGGAGCCAGAGGGGTACGGGAAAGGCCGGGCGGCGAGGGATAGGAGCGAGAAACCTGGTCCACGCTTGAGTACTTGTCGCCGGTCGCTGGTCGGAGGCTTTACAAGGACGTTTGCGGCAAGCGACCCCCCAAGGTGTGGCCTTTGAGGGTGCCGTTTTTGTCCTCGAAGACTAGCGTGTTTGCCGTTTCGCGTGTTAGCTACTAATATCGAGTCGCCGCCGTGAGCAGTTTCTCAGCGCTCTGCGCGTCAACGCCATTTTCTGGGTCGTTGGCGGGAGGGAGGGAAGCTGGTGGATGGGATTGGAACCTGGGAAGGACAATTACTACATAACAAAGAATCATTATTTGAAAATACACTTCTAAACGTGATGTGTAAAGTTTATTTCGAAACTCAATCGTTCATCGGTAGTTGCACACTATTGATGCAACACCATCATCGCCCAGAAATTCTGAGTAGTGGTGTTTGGCGTTATAAGAATATGCCATACATGTAAAAAAAGCTCTTATAATTTGTAAGAATAGATCAGTGTGTATGGTGACTGAACATTATTATTTTTGCATTCTAATACTAAATATAAGCTTAGCTACTGCCACAACACAAGTAACCCTAAGCAAAATCGATTATACAAAAGTTGCTGATGAGTTCCCCCCCCCCCCCTCCCCCCCCCTCTTGCAACCGATGTGATGTCAACCTGCGACATTACAAGGCAATAAGACAATTCAGAAGACCAGTTTACAGAAAAGAATGGAGCAAAACGCCCCAGAAACTGACCATTACCTGTTGCTTTTGAAACTTGGCGTTCAACTCATTCAGAATGGCGAGGATGTCCGCAACGAAGAAGTGAAGGAAATGGAATCCGAACGGCGTCACGATATTATACACCTCGTGCTTGTGCTCGTATAGCAGCAACACCGTCGCGGTCAGGACCTTCGCGAAGCACTTTACCGCTTCTTGTCGATGCTCTCATCGTCCATGGTGTCTGAGGCCATTAGCTGTTAGCATTCGCCATGACGCGCCCCGTCGAGCAGCCCGCTGCGCAAAGTGCGACCCGTAGTGCGACCCGTAGTGCGACCCGTAGTGCGACCCGTAGTGCGACCCGTAGTGCGACCCGTTGACCTGCCCGTCACCCAGCGGACCCACCAGCGGACCCACCAGCGGTCCTGCCAGTGGTCCTGTCAGCCGCCCGCCAGTAAGCCTGCCAGCAAGCTCGAAAACGGCCTGCCAACGCGCCAGCAAACCCGCAAGCGCACCAGCAAGCCCACCAGGGAGGTCGCGTGGGGGGTTTGGCTGCGGTGTGCTGCTTACACCGCTGCCCGCCTACTCCTCCCTCTCCCTGCTGCGCCTGCGCGGTGGGGGGGGGGGGGGGGAGGGGGGTCGTGTTACGAGGGGATGGTGCGAGAGCATCTCGCATCCACACACCTGCATGGCCACACACCCGCATGCCCACACACCCGCATGCCCACACACCCGCATGCCCACACACCCGCACACCCACACACCTGCACACCCACACAACCTGCATATCCACACACCTGCACACCCACACACCTGCACACCCACACACCCGCATGCCCACACACCTGCACACCCGCACACCTGCACACCCACACACCTGCACACCCACATGCTCACACACCTGCATGTCAACAGGAACACCAGCAGAAGCCAGAGCAGCAGTGGCAGGTACATGCGCCGTCTCAGCTTGCGAGAGAAGCGAGGAAAGATCCTCCATAGACAGAGCAGGCGCGGCAGCAGCGGCAGACGAGACGTGGGGGGGGAGGGAAGCAGGGGATTGGGAGGAGATGGGGGTGTAGGAGAAGGAGGCGTGGAGGGATGCGAGGGAGTGCAGGAAGGTGGAGAGGTCGAGAGGCGAGGCGAGGCACGGCCACCATTGGGACAGATGCTTGCGCACCTGGTGGTGGGGAAGAGTGGGGGATGGGAGGGACGAGAGGAAAGAATGGGTGTTGAGTACGCGCGAGGGGAGGAGGAGGGGCGTGGGGAGGATGGGCGTGGGCGTGGGGAAGAGGGGCGTGGGAAAGAAGAGGAGAGTGCAGTCGTGAGGGAAAGAGCAAAGAATACTGAAGACTACATCTTCATTTCAAAAGTGGAAAGTCGAGATATCATAGCAGAGTGAAGAATGTGGTAATACGCCTTGTTTAGGAGTGCTGTCACAGGTGAATTATTCAAAAGGTGAAGCGCGCGTATAAGAACAGTTCTGAGGCGTCACAAAAGGCAAGCGAGCACGCGAGAACAAGAGTGTGTGGTGTATCCAACACACGGCAGTGCACGCAGCTCTCAGGCATGAACGAAGTTGCCTGAAGCACCGACATAATCTAAAGCAATTGATATCTCATCCGAAGCACCTGACACCACACTGCACCTGAAACTCACCTGAAGCACCTGAAGTATCACCTTAAGCACCTCACCTGAAGCACGGTGGCGAGGCCGGATTGGGAGAGGCGGAGGGGCCATTGGGGGGGGGGAGCAGCGATGGGGGGATCACCGAGCATGGCGGCGACACAGGCAGCGAAGCACTGCTCTATGGAGTAGAGATTGTATCCCCCCTCCAACACCACCACCACCCCCGCTGCTGTTGCCCGCAGCAGCTGGTGCTCGGCGGAAGGGGGAGAGGGGGAGGACGGGGAGAGAGAAGGCGGGTTTAGGGTTGTGTGTGGGGGGGGGGAGAGAGGGAGGAAAAGGGAGGGGTATTGGGAGAAAGGGGGAGAGTGAGGAAGTAGATGGGTGGGAGGCGAGGAATGGGGGAATGAAGAAGACGAGCAAGCAAAGAGACAAGGATGGTGGGAAAGGAAGGGGGGAAGAGGGGTTGGGGAGGGAGACAGCAGAGCAGGAGGAATGGGGGAGATGAGCAAAGGGAACAGGTTCCAGGAACGGGAAGGTGGGGTTTGGGGAGGGACGGGGAGAGAGTTAAGGGGGGTTGGAGGTGGATGGTGAAAAGGTAGGAGGAAGAGGGATGGGGGATGGGAGAAGGGGAAGAGTGAGGAAGAGGATATGTAGGAGGTGATGGTGGCAGAGTGGGAAAGGCGAGCAGACAATGTGCAACGACAATGATGGGAAAGGAAGTGGGGGAGAGGAGGGGTAGAAGAGGGGGGAAGAGGAGAGGGGGCAAGGGCACCTTGTGTGTGAGGTGCGAGTAGCCAAAGGGCGTCAGCTTGCACCCACCAAGAGGGTCGTTCACCGCTGCACCATGCCATGCCATGCCATGCCGTGCCGTGCCATGCCATGCCATGCCATGCCATGCCATGCCATGCCATGCCATGCCATGCCATGCCATGCCATGCCATGCCATGCCATGCCGTGCCGTGCCGTGCCATGCCATGCCGTGCCGTGCCGTGCCGTGCCATGCCGTGCCATGCCATGCCATGCCGTGCCATGCTATGCCACATGCCGTGCCACATGCCATGCCACATGCCGTGCCACATGCCATGCCACATGCCGTGCCACGCCATGCCACATGCCGTGCCACATGCCATGCCACATGCCATGCCATGCCATGTGCATGCAACCATGGGCATCATTCCAAGCAGCAAAATCAACAGAGAAACGATGAGGGGAAAGCAAAGTGGCACACTGCTATGATCACACGACGCAGGCTGCCTCGCCTTGCACTGCCTTACCCAACTACCACATGCACATCAGATCAAATCAATCCCAGAGAAAACGAGCACCAGCGGGGGCTGGCTGAGACCTATGCAGATGAAATCAAAAGCACAAAAGGTCAGCAAAGCAAAGGTTAGCTGCATAGGTCAGCTCCTTGCCCTTCCCCTTCCCCCTCCCCCTCCCCCTCCCCCTCCCCCTCCCCCTCCCCCTCCCCCTCCCCCTCCCCCTCCCCCCACTACAACAACCTTCCCCCCTCCCCCGCCCCCACCTGCATCGAAGCCCGCGGACACGAGCACAAGCTCCGGCTGAAAGGCATGCAGCAGCGGCAGCAGCAGGAGGTCCCAGGCGGCAAAGTAGTCCCCATCGCTGTACCCCCCGCCCGGCCACGGCACGTTCACGTTGAAGCCCTCGCCCCGCCCCGCCCCCACCATGTCGTAGTCCCCGTCCGGGCCCGCCGGGTAGAACATGCCGCCCTGGTAGCTGGGGGGGTGGAGGGTGGGGGTGGGGAAAGGAAGATGCTGGGTGTGACTTGGGCGCCCATCTTACAACGCCCCGCACTGCCCCGTCCTGCCCCACCCACACCTTGTCGTAGTCCCCGTCCGGACACGGCAGGTAGATCGATCATGCCACCCTCGTAGCTGGGGGAAGGAGGGGGGACGGGGGTGTGGAAAAGGGTGACAGGTGTGAGTTTGAAACCACTCCACGCGCCCCGCTCTGCCCTGAATTGCCCCGCCCCCACCTTGTCGTTGTCACCATCTGGGCCTGCCGGGTAGAACATGCTGCTCTGGTAGCTGGAGGAGGTTGGGAGCGAGAGGGGGACCATTCGAGAGGGGGAAGTGGGGAAGAAAGAGAAAGCAAGGGGAAGGGAGAATGAGGGAGGAAGGAGGGTGAGGGAGAGGAGAAAATTAGGGAATGAACGTGCTACCCTGGCAACTTGGGGTTAGAAGGGAGAAAAGCGAACATGCATGGGCTTTTTTTTAGAATCCTCAAAAAGGAGTGGGAGAGGAGCGAGCGTGAGTGGGAGTGGGAGAGGCAAAGAGAGGAGCGTACCGATGCACACTGAAGTAGAGGAGGCGCGGGTCGGTCCAGAACATGTGCTGGATGCCGTTGCCATGATGCACGTCCCAGTCCACCACCAGAATGCGCTGCACCCTGCCACTGTCCTGCTCCCATGCATGCATGCACCAGTCCAGTCATGCACGCATCAGTCCAATCATGCATGCATCAGTCCAATCATGCACGCATTCATTTGCTCATCCGTGCAATGGTATGGTGAGTGAATGACGCGTGGTATGGCGCGGATGGTGTGGTGTGGAGTGGTGCGGTTTGATGTGGTGTGGTGTGGTGTGGTGTGGTGTGGTGTGGTGTGGTGTGGTGTTGTGTGGTGTGGTGTTGTGTGGTACAGTAGGGTATGGTATGGCATTTCATGGAATGGTATGGTATGCCGTGGTATGGTTCTTGGCAGACAGATCAGCGTTGTTAGCAGAAGCTCGTAAAGCAGGCAGCAAGCAGCTTTAATTCATGGTTGGCGCAGGCAGTCGCCTCAAAAGTCGTCCCATCTCATGACGCAAGCAACAAGCCTAGTCCTAACGCGTCGCAGGGCAGGGTATCACAGAGAAATCTAAAAGATTACCCTGCAACAAGCCACGCTCTTCTATGGCACTCCGCCACCCACCAGCAGGTGCTTGGCGGCGAGGGCGACGTTGTTGAAGAGGCAGAAGACACGGTATGATGCCGATGAGGCAGGCAGCAGCACGGCTTGTTCTAATACGAATTCAACTCAGTTCAAGCACACCCACCAGGAGGTGCTTGGCGGCGAGGGCGACGTTGTTGAAGAGGCAGAAGCCCATGGGGCAGTGCGCCTCCGCATGGTGCCCTGGCGGCCGCACCGCTGCTGCAGCGTGATGCAACTTGTGCGCTGCCACCTGCTGCGATAGCTGTGGAGGGGGGATGGGAGGGGGGAAGCGAGGGGGGAAAGATAGAGGCAGCGAGAGGGAAGGAGATGGATGAAGAAGCGAAGAGAAGAGATGAACGAGGAAGGAGGAAAAAGGGGGGAGAAGGAAGAGGGAGACTGTGCGTTTCGTTTCCACCATAGTGGGCTATGGATCGGCGATGCAGCGAGCCAAAACAGACGCAAGAAGATGACCGACAGCGAAACATCAGTCAACAAAGAAGAAGAAGAAGAAGTAGTGTACAAGCATGCATGTATGTGTAGTGCGGACAACGGTGGGTGGGTGGGTGGGTGGGTGGGTGGGTGGGTGGGTAGGTGACAGAATGCAGCAGGCATGAGAGAGGAGATGGGTGACCTCAGCGACGGAGCCAGCAGCAAGGAGGGCGGAGGAGGAGGAGCCTTCATTGAAGAAGATGGAGTTGAAGGCGCGGCTGCACGCCTCTCTCTCCTCCGCGCTCAGCTGGTCGCTGCTGACGGCGCGGATGAACGCCACATGGTCCCGCGTGTGCGCCGACTGCAGCTCCTCGTCCGTTGCCTCGCGCGCCGCCACGCGGATGCACCTGGTGGCACGGGGTTGCAGGGACGCGGTGTGGGAGGAGTGCGAATAGAAGGTAAGCGCCTCGGGACGCCACATGGTGCAAGGAGAGGGTGGGGAGAGGGTGGGGAGTGGGAGCAGACATCTCACCGTTGCGCGAGGCCGGTGGACTTAAGGTAGGAGAAGATGCGGTGGATGCGCGCGGGCTGCTCGGGGTGGTCCATCTCGGGGTCCTGGTGCGCCATCATGCGCTCGTCGTACGCCACCCCCACCCTCCGCGCACCGGCCTCCGCCTCCGCCCCCCCAGCGCCTTCCCCCGCTGCGCATGTTTCTGCTGGAACTGCTGCTGTTGCTGCTGCTGTGGAGCCTGTTTTTTCTGCTGTGGTTGTTGTGACTGGTGGTGCTGCCGGGAGAGGGGACGCGGCGAGGTGGGAACCAGTCGCGGGAGTTTGCGCGGGCGCGCGATCGGACACCGTGAGCGCGCTCAAATGCGAGTCTTCCGCCGTGCTCCCTGCCGCGGACGCCAGCGGAAAGCGCACGGAGTCCGCTTCCGCGATTGACGGCGCGATCGACGGCAGCGGTGGTTGAACGTTAATGCGGGGCGCGCCGTCCTGCATTCTCGCGTCGTCTTCGTGGGTGGGTTCCATGTCACCCACGATTCAACCCGTGGGTGGGCTCAATCGACAGCTTTAGGCGTAACTATGTCAAAAAAAGGAACTGGGAGCGAAACCGAGGGAAAATGCAGTAGCTCTGGCAGGTTCACGGGAAAGAGAGTGCGGTAGATGTAGATGAATATTAGTGCGGCAATGAGGAAGGGGAGAAATGAGGGAAGGTGCGGGTGGCGACGGTTGGAGCGAGAAATCTGGTCCGCGCGTGAGTGCTCGTCGTCGCCTGTCGCTGGTCGGACCTCGTACATGGACGCGTGCGCCTAGCGACGAACCAAGACGTGAACTTCGAATATGCCGGTTCTGTATTCCGTTTTCGTGCAACGGGAGAGTCTTTGCCATTTGCCATTTTGCCGTTCTGACTAACGGCGCTGCTCGGCAGGCATTCCAGTCCGACCAGGGGGCCAGTCGGACTGGAGGAAACTGCCTGTCAGTCTCGCTGTTTAGGGCGTGGAACATTAACGACCACGCCAAATGGTCGGCTTCTTGATTGTTTCTGGCGATTGCGAAGAATTTCGGGAAACCCAATTGACTGGACAGGATACTAGTCACCCCTACTTGACCTAGAAACAATAGTATCTCCCGTAGTTCTTTCACGGCACTTCCCAACACTTATCCCCGTTTGCGTTTGCCAAACACTACTCATGCACCGAGCTCGAATGCTTAAACTGGGAACAAAAGTTTCTGTTTTTGGGGGTGGTTTCTAGTAGGTGCCCTACTTGCTGGCGAGCAGAGTTAGCTTTGAAATCTCGCATCCTTCGCATCTGTGTTACACCCTCCGTATTCGCCAGATCCAACCATACGGTCGACCATTAGGCATGGTCGTAAAAATGTTCCACGCCCTTAGGGCGCGTGTGTAGACGTTCGGATTTTTGGTTGAACTTTTGCTGGTTACCCTATTCGTTAATTTTGTGGAATCCTTCGCATGGACATCGTGTGTCCATGTACACTCTCGGCATCGAATAGTGTGCAAGCGTGTGTGCAACTTACCACTGACAGCGACGATGCGAAGTCTGCGACGCTCGCAGCTAGCATCGTGCGCACGAGGGTGCTCGTCGCGGGGGCCTTACGTGGCGCGCTGTCAAGAGGCCAAACCGGGTAACCTACGAATGTAGGTCGCGACTCGGCTGGGTCTGCAAAAGTTCAACTTCGATAGATGAACTTTTGTGTGTCGTGATTCTCGGGAGTGTTGGAACCGCGACTCGGTTCGCAGATGTTGAAAACTCGAGCCTAGGTCTACCTACGTTCAAATGTGTACAGTTCAACTCAAAATCCAAGTTTTGCATGTAAAAACCAAAAGACACGCGCCCTTACCCTCACCAAAGTCTTTGAGGCGAGGCGAAACCCAAGCCCGTGCTCGGACTGGAGGGACTGCACTCTGCCTCAGACCTTGGGCCGTTCGTAGGCGCCTAGTGTGATTGGACCAACAAGCATTGCGGGACGCTCTGACATCGGTGCTGTTCGCCAGCAAATCGTATTTTGAAATGAAAAAGATGGCATCGGCATCGCGACCGCATATGGAAACGGAGGTGGAACCCACCTCCGAGGTTTGGCCGTAATGCCGTTCAGGAAACTTCTGCGCCTGCGGTTGAGAAATTTCTCAACCGCATCAGGAACCTCCATCCCTGTCAAATGTTGTAGCCTATAGTGAGGTTTGTCTTAGGGGGTACAAAACTTAGGGTTAGCTATATGTACCCCAACCAACATCAATGCATCATCCATTCTTCATTTTGACATGGTATCAGTTAGGTTAGGATCCTGTGGGATCCCGTTCCGCCGTTCTCCGTTCGTACCACCCGAGCCTGATCCTAGCTCTCGTTCGTCTCCTTCTCGTTGTTACCGAGCCTAGCGCCGAGCCACGCTCTCGTTCGTAGCGTAGCCCGCCCCCCCCCCCCCCCTTCGCGTCGCCTTCCCCCCCCCCCTCGAGTCGCGCCCGTCCCTTTCCCCCTGTCGCGTCGCGCTCCCCCCGTCGCGTCGCGTCCGCGCCTTCCCCCCGTCGTGTCGCCTTCCCCCTGTCCCGTCGCGCCCCCCCCCTTTCCCCCCGTCGTGTCGCCTTCCCCCTGTCCCGTCGCACCCGCCCCTTTCCCCCCGTCACGTCGCCTTCCCCCTGTCCCGTCGCACCCGCCCCTTTCCCCCCGTCACGTCGCCCTCCCCCTGTCCCGCCGCACCCGCCCCTTTCCCCCCGTCACGTCGCCTTCCCCCTGTCCCGTCGCACCCGCCCCTTTCCCCCCGTCACGTCGCCCTCCCCCTGTCCCGTCGCTCCTGCCCTCTCCCCCCGTCGAGTCGCCCGTCCCGCAGCGCCCGCCGCTGTCGCTCGCGACCGCGCTCGTCGCCGCCGCGCCTGCCGCCGTCGCCCGCCCCCTGCACACCTCGCTGCGGCCCCGCCGTCGTCGCCCGCCGCTGCGCGCGTCGCCGCTGCGCCCCCCCCCCCTGCCGTCGCCCGCTGCGCGCGCTGCTGGCCCCTGCTGCCGTACGCGCTGCCATCGCCCGCCGCTGCGCCCGTTCTCGTTCTCCGCTGCTTAGTCCCCTGTTACCTCCCGCTGTCACGCCCGCTGTGGCGTCCGCTCCTCCCCTGTCCCAGAGTACCGCCGAACCCTAATTTGCCTCTCATCTACTGCTGTCCCCTCCGTTCGCGTTCGTTTTCGCTATGGCGACTCAGCGTGTCCTTCGTTTCGACGCTGACGGTAGACCTCTTGATTTTTCCGTCTGGCTTCTTCGTGCTCGCCGTCTGTTAGAGAGTCAGGTCCAGGCAGGCGAGTCCCTCTGGGCGCACGCTACTGGTGCCCTACCTGCGCCCCCCGACCCTACGCCTTTAGGACCTGCCCCTGACGACGCCGCTAGAGCCCGCTTTGCCACTCAGCGAGCTGACCAGACGGCTTGGACGTCACGTGACGCTGCGGCCTGCATCGCGCTCAGCAGCCTCCTCCCTGAGTCTGAGGAGGTTCACTTCACTCAGGTTCGCACCGCTGCTGCGTACCTCACTGCGATTAAGGCCCGCTACTCTACTCCCGCTGCTGTCTCTCTTGGCCGCCTGTTCCTCCCGTTCCTGTTTCCTGACCTGGCGTCTTTTGAGCGCTCTGCTGACTTGATCGCTCACCTCCGCTCGCTCGACGCTAGTTACCGCGCTGCTTGCACTGAGGCACAGCTTGCACTGCTTCCTCCCCCTATGGCGATTACTATCTATTTCATCGCCACTAGCCTCCCTGACCGCCTTGCCTCCGTTCGCGACGCGCTTCTGCTGAAGCACCCTAGTGAGCTCACCGTCGATGTCCTTGAGTCTGCACTCAAGGACGTCGAGAGCAACCTTCGCTCGGTAGCCGCTGCCTCTGGTGCTGTGCCCCCCCCACTCTTCCACGGGTGCACAGTCCCGCAGTTACCCACCTTTACTGCCTCACTTGCCACTGCCGCTACTGACGCGACTGCAGCTGCTGTTACGACTGCGTCGCGGTCCCGCGGTAGGAGTGGCAAGAAAGGCGGTTCTGGTGGTGGTAGTGGAGGTGGAGGCGGAGGTAGTGGAGGTGGCGTTGCGCCTGGCGGCGGTGGAGGTTCAGGGCCTGGAGAGGCGCCTCGTGCAGTGACTGGTGACTCCACTGCGCCTGCTGGTGGTGGCGACGCCCGAGTTCGTCAGTCGCCTCCTGTACTTCCTGCCCCGGTTGGCGGAGCAGCGGCGTGGTACCAGGCTCAGCGTCAGCAGCAGCTTCTGCAGCACCAGCAGCCCCTCTCCTCCCAGCAGCCTCAGCAGCAGCAGCGGCAGCAGCTGGCTCCAGGGTCGGGGCTGCGTCAGACCCAGCGCGGTGCTGCTTACACTCCCTGCACCTACCAGGTTCTGACAGGCACTCGTCGTGGCCACCCTTGTGGCCGGTTTCACCCCCCTGGTCAGTGCTTTGCTCAGCTCACTGACACGGTTCGTTTGGTCTACGGGGTTGGTGCTCCTGCCCCTGACTGGCTGCCTCTTGTTCAGCGCTACGGCTCCGCTCTGTGGGGCATGTCTGCTGAGCAGTTAGTTGATCTGATTGGTACTCCCCATGCTATGTATGCTGTTGTTGACTCTAGTGTTTCTGACTCTGCTTACTCTGGTGTTGTTAGCTTAGGTGCTAGCCTTGCTCAGTTGCCTGTTGCTAGTGTAGGTTCTTGTGTAGACTCTAGTCCAGCGGCTACCTCAGAGGACGGTTCGCTGTCGTTCACGCTGGACTCTGGAGCCTCTCACTGCTTCTTTCGTGACAGCACGACACTTACGCCTCTTCCTGCGCCTGTTTCTGTGGCGCTGGCTGATCCCACTTCGGGACCAGTCACCGCGCGTCACACTACCACCTTGCCGTGTCCGGCTGCTCCTTCTGGGTCTCTCACTGGGTTTCACGTCCCCTCGTTCTCCCGGAACTTGGTGGGCGTGCGACCCCTCGTGAGTCAGCACGTGGGTGTGTGGTTTGAGCCTTCTGGAGAGACTGCGGTGTGTGTTGACGGGGACTCTTACCAGCCCCTCGCCACTTTTGCTGCTGAGCCGGGCTCCGGTCTCTACACTCTTCACACTGGCCCGCGCCCTCAGCAGCGACTGCAGCAGCAGCAGCAGCCGCAGCAGCAGCGGC